TGAGATAGTTAAGATAGTCCAGGTGAGATAGTTAAGATAGTCCAGGTGAGATAGTTAAGATAGTCTAGATGAGATAGTTAAGATAGTTCAGGTGAGATAGTTAAGATAGTCCAGGTGAGATAGTTAAGATAGTCCATGTGAGATAGTTAAGATAGTCCAGGTGAGATAGTTAAGATAGTCTAGATGAGATAGTTAAGATAGTTCAGGTGAGATAGTTAAGATAGTCTAGGTGAGATAGTTAAGATAGTCCATGTGAGATGTTAAGATAGTCTAGATGAGATAGTTAAGATAGTCCAGGTGAGATAGTTAAGATAGCCCAGGTAAGATAGTAAAGATAGCCCAGATAATATACCTAGCCAAGATATATATATATATATATATAGTCCAGGTACGAAAGTTAAGATAGCCCGGATAATATAGTCAAAATAGTAAGGTTAAGATAGTCCAGGTGAAAGTTAAGATAGTCCAAGAAATGAGATTTGTTGTGGCACTCAATGACAGATGTTACAATAGACAAACCTCAATACTTTCATTACCTGCACGAATTTATTGATTGTAATTTAACTGAGTAATTATGAGTAATAACTAACTTTTTATGAGTAATAATTGATTTATTGTTGTGATTGCAGGCAAGGTACGACTTAACCTATTTTTGTAATTGCCCTAACAAAGTTCGGGGATCGCCTATGTAGGGTTCAGCCGAGTAGTCGTTGCACTCGGCGAAAAGTCATTCTGAGTCCGATCGAAATCAGTTTCTGGTCAGAATATCCTTTCCGACTTTATAGTCGCCTCAGAGTATGAGAAGAGTTGGCCGAGCCGAGTCATACCGAGCTAGCAAGCTGCCCAGAGGCTGCCATTCAAACCCTAGGCCGAAGCAGACATAGAGAAGCTGATTTATGTGCTCGCCCTAGGTGGTCCCTAATGCCGGGTCGCCACCAGCTCTAAATTTTGATAGGGTGGAGGGTATATATATTGTTATTTTTATTATAATTGCAGGCAAAATATATTGATTGTAATTTGTATTATAATTGCAGGCAATCTACGACATGCTGGGCAGCAACAGCGCTAACAGACCAGCAGACAGCGCTGAGGAGCGCGCTAAGGCAATCTTCAGCAAGATGGACGAGAATAATGACGGCAACCTCACGCAGGAAGAGTTCCTTAAAGGATGCTTGCTTGATGAGGAACTCAGCAAAATGCTCACGCCTGGGGCTTAATTGCGCTTATTGAACCCATGTTACAGGGGCTTGATGAACCGATGTTCCATGGGCTTCATAACCCTATATTCCAAGGGCTCATTGCTTAGTCGACATGCCTAGAAGAAGCGATCCTAATGCTCACATCACGGGCTTAATAAAGCTTTATTCCATGGGCTCATTGATTTGTAAGAGGAAATATTTGTGTGAGGAGGTAGGGTTCGATTGGAAAGATGATTGTTGTTCTGCCGAAACCTTGGAGTTTTAAGTACGGTTGGTTGTCGCAAGTTGGATGTTCTGTCACTATCGTCCGATTGGGAAGAAGGTTTAGTTATCAATGAGACGGATCGTTAAGAGAAAGCTGTGATGCTTGTTCTTATTTTTAAGATGTACTGACATTATAGGAACGATCGTACGTGAATGACACGTAGATATTGCACGTAAACAAACGATGTCACATCTCACTGTATTGTTCCGTTGATAGTTTAAACTAAATGCGCTGGCGTTTTCATCCTTCCTTTAGATTCCTGGAGAACAACTTCGAAGTAAATGTATGTATGAGAGTTGATGCGAGTTACGTTTAATATCGGAAAGATTAGTTATGGAATTTGGTGTGGCTCCGAAATACGTTTTGCATTGTAAACCATTCGTGGATGAGAACACCGGAACGCTCGAATCTAATTCGATGGTACAATACCAATTTATGGAATTTTTCTCAGAACAAAGTCGTCAGAAAATCATAGTTAATGTGGCGATAGAATGAGTGCGTGATGAGGCCAACGGTAGGACTTGTTACACTGTGGAAAGACGCTCGCGGTATTGCCGGAAATAAGATTAACAAGCAGTGAATTAAGAATGAAGAATGACTTATTATGTTGGTAATAAAAAGAAATAATGACTTATTATGTTGGTAATGAAGAGAAATAAAGACTTATTATGTTGGTAATGAAGAGACCTCGCCGGCGTTGCTTGGAACGAGGATGGGAGCGTTAAGTTTGAAGGACATGATCGTCGCGTTGTAGAGTATAAGTTAAGGTTTACTGTTAAGGATGAGCTACTGCAACACAATCATTCTTGATGTATCATGTAGCGCATTGAAAGCTAGCTCTTCGATTGCAATGTCTCTGCTGCCTCGGTCGACGAAATCCTTCCTGCGTGCAAACTTTCTGACAGGCCTCAACTTGGACTCTTGGAGAACTCCGCTCCTGAGTTTCTTGTGATTACTTATATTATTTGTAAGTATTTCATTGGCAAAGCACCATTCTCTCTACCCTTACTATTTACTATACAAAAGACCGCAAGTACATCTCACTGTGCGATTCTATTCGTATTATATTGACCAGATCTGCTTTGGATGAGAGCAAGAACAGCGATTCTCGGCCTGGCTTAGGAAATGTTCAAGCTTAGAGCTGTCATCGTACTGCATCTTTTTTCGACTCATGTTCATTGTAGGAACCATTGACGGCTACAGGAAATGGCTGTAGTATGCATGTAGCACTGTACGGAGCTGCAGTGTAGCGCCGTGCACTGTACGGCGCTGCAGTATGGCACAGCTTACTTCATTACCGCTCTCTTATGTAGTTACAGGCTTATCTTTATCTTGTATTTTTAGACATTTTACTGTGGTAAACTATTGGGAAAAACTTATATTCTAAGTCGCACCTCAAACGATAGCTATTCAACTTGCTGATGAATAATTGACACGAAGCACGTGAGTCACTTCATGTATTCAACGTTCGTTTCTCCACAATCAATTTGATCTTCAGTTTAACTTTTCTTGTTGAAATGCTTGAAACAGAATAGGCTCTTCTAGAAATGTAATGCTGATATATTTTTCTTTCGATAGTTCAACAGCTGGCGATGAAATTCCGCTGTGTTCTGTACCTGTACGCTAGATAGCATTTGAATCTATTGATCCGATAACAATAACATGAAAAGCGAAGAAGCTCCATAACATAACACAATGTCACTATTGCACATTCTGCATTCACAATACAATGTCACTATTGTTCATTCTGGAACATTGTTACTATTCAGGCACCTCATGCAAGACGCGTAGTGCTTGTAATTAATACCTTATGTTGTGGTATCGCGTTCCCTGAAAGTGGTTATGCTTTCAAATGTGTTCTAACTGAAAGATTCTGTCTGGAAAAAATTGCGGGCAACTTTGACGTTTGATTTCAAAGTAAGTTTGGTTTCACCAAAGTTTCAGTTTTCTTTGGTTTGGGTTCACCAATGTATTTTGCCGTAATTTGACTGCCTAATTTTTCTTGTAATTTGTTCGTGTTGTGCAGGATAGGAACACATTGTAGCAGATGTTCGTCAGCTACGCACGAGGATAGGAACACATTGTAGCAGATGTTCGTCAGCTGCGCATACGCATTTCTCCGTCATTCCATTTTTATTATGCATGTTTCACTAAATTGAACATGTAGCTTGCATGCCACACGTACGCACAGCGAGTCATGCCATGCACTCCACACTCAGCTTGCGCTGTCAACATTGTAGCTCATTTGGTTATTTTTTCGCTGAGTGAACGCTACTTTTCTTCGCTAATTAAACCTTAAACTTTCCTGAGCTGATTATAACCTAAAGCTATATTTCTTAGCTGATTATAACCTATAACGTTATTTTCTTGACTTTCAAGTTGAAGTTTGTTATTTTGTTATTTGGTGCGCATTGGACGTGGATGTTAGATCTATTGCGTTGACTTGACTCGGTGCTGTGTTGTTTAATACCTAAAATTGTACGCTGAGCACAAACTGTACACAAATTATTCTTTCGTTACTCTTAAGAGATTTTTTGTCATTCCGAGATGTTCGACCAAACTTTTTTGATGTAGATAATTTTCTTTACTTGTTTATACTGCGATCTATTTTTCACGTGAAATATGTTTAACAAAATCAACGCTGTATATGTCAAGTAACCTTGTCACGATGAATTAGTTTGTTCTCTGTACGAGTTTTCTTTCACCAGAGCTTGAAATTCAACATGGCCTTCTCTTTGTTCACAATTAATGGATTCTGCCGTCGTTTGATTTTGATTTAACGGTGCCGTTTTCACATGCTCATTATCGTTGTTATGATATTCGTTATGATTATAAAAGTTTTGTGCAATGTTTCTGCAACATTCTGTCTTTTTCTCATCATTATTCGTAATAGGTATGCCCTGTGATTTGCAATAACAGCTGCTCCGCTCACGTTTATTTCGGCCGCTGCAGCGTCAGGCATTTCTTTAATATGTTGAGGTAGTCTCGAGTTCAGTTCGTGCCGTGGATAATCTGAAATAATAATTGTTTGTATGTTACTTCAAGTTCTGCATGTCGTGTCAACGGTAAACAGTGAAGTGCTCCTTGTTAACTGTTGTTTCTCTCTTGACTATTGCTACTTTGTTTGCTGCTGCACAATTTTTTTCCGTTATACTACTCACAAACGACACGTAATTGGAAAAAGTTCTATTCCTTTATTGGTTCTCATCAAGATTTTTTATTTTCTGGTAATTTTTCATGATCTTCTGGGTTTATTCAGTCACTGTGCACTCAAAAGCCACTGTTCGTTGTGGCAGGTAAGTGATATGAAGTTCACACCGGAAGCGTTTCCTCGCTAACCTAAAATGTTGGATGTTGATGCAATGCATGTGGCTTTGAAGAAAAAAACGTTTCTTGTATGAACTTTCATTTTGCGTATTTGTGTGCCGTTGGAATGGCTCATACAAACTACACAGACATACGTTGCGGCTGGTAATGCCACATGGCCTCTGTTATACAGCTTATCTCTACTTGTATGCCGTTGGAATGGTTCATACAAACTACACAGACATATGTTACGGCTGCTAATGTCACATGGCCTCCGTTATACAGCTCATTTCTATTTGTATGCCGTTGGAATGGTTCATACAAACTACACAGACATACATTGGGGCTGCTAATGCAACATGAGCTATAGAGTCCGTCTCTCCACGCTCGTACTTTATTTAATGAGCGCCAAATCATGCACTTGTAAAGTCAGGCACATGAAAGCCTTGCAAATTCTTTCTATTTGACGTGAAAGCATTGCTCTGCACTTAGAAAGTCTTAGTACCCAAAATGAGTCTTGTATGATATTGTATGTCGAACAATCTTTCTATTTGTTAATCTTACTCTTCTAGCCGTTGAAGGTGTGGAGTCATTTCTATTTATATATAATATATATGTATGTATGACGAGCTCTTATATAATGTAGTATATTATATATGGTGTACGAATAAAGCCTGTCTCTGTCGTGTCCGTAGCTTTGTACTCACAGCTCCTTATTTTAGCTGCGCCCTAACCAAAGTAGGAATAATGCAATTATATATTATACTTTCTACTCGCAATATTACACGCAATACTCTTATACATGCAATATCCCTACACGCAATATCCCCTACACGCAATGTCCCCTACACGCAATGTCCCCTACACGCAATATCCCCTACACGCAATTGCAATGTCCCCTACATGTAATATCTCCTACACGCAATATCCCCTACACACAATGTCCCCTACACGCAATGTCCCCTACACGCAATGTCCCCTACACGCAATGTCCCCTACACGCAATGTCCCCTACACGCAATGTCCCCTACACGCAATATATCTCCTACACGAAATATCCCCTACATGCAATGTCCCCTACACGCAATGTCCCCTACACGCAATATCCCCTACACGCAATGTCCCCTACACGCAATATCCCCTACACGCAATGTCCCCTACACGCAATATCCCCTACACGCAATATCTCCTACACGCAATATCTCCCATACGCAATGTCCCCTACACGAAATATCTCCTACACGCAATATCCCCTATACGCAGTGTCCCCTACACGCAATGTCCTCTACACGCAATATCCCCTACACCCAATGTCCCCTACACGCAATGTCCCCTACACGCAATATCTCATACACTCGATATCCCCTACACGCAATATCCCCTACATGCAATATCCCCTACACGCAATATCCCCTACACGCAATATCTCCTATACGCAATATCTCCTATACGCAATATTTCCTATACGCAATATCTCCTACACGCAATGTCCCCTACACGAAATATTCCCTACCTATACGCAATGTCCCCTACACGCAATATCGCCTATACGCAAGTGGATACACGCAATATCCCCTACACGCAATATCCCCTACACGCAATATCGCCTATACGCAAAATCCCCTACAGACAATTGTCCTTTTGTTAAGCCTCAAAGAAATCAAGTTTGGATTGTAAAGATGAAAGCGACCAGGCGATCGCTGTTATGACTTCAAGAGAAATTCTAGGTCTGATGCCATGACTTTGTTTTATTTGTTTTACTGTTTATGCCATGACCTTGTTTGATAGTTTATGCCATGACCTTGTTTGATAGTTTATGCCATGACCTTGTTTGATAGTTTATACAATGACTTTGTTAGATAGTTTATACAATGACTTTGTAGTATGGACGCTTCGTATTGTTTCTTGGCCGGCGGTTGGTTTTGGGCATCACTTACCCTGTTTGTGGCGATAGTTGCTGTTGTTGCCATAACAGTGACTGTTGTTGTCATAACAGTGACTGTTGTTGCCATAACAGTGACTGTTGTTGTTGCCATAACAGTGACTGTTGTTGTTGCCATAACAGTGACTGTTGTTGTTACCATGACAATGATTGTTGTTGCCACAACAGTTACTTGTTGTTGTTGCCGTAACAGTGACTGTTGTTGCTCTGACAGCGACTGTTGTTGCCATAGCAGTGACATCCTCTGTTAGTGGTGGCACACGTCAACCTATTGTGCAATCTACATATTTCTCGAGTACCATTGTTTGTCTTTAGAAATAATAATTATTATTATTAATAATGATATAGGGATAAGTCGTTCAGATGAACAGACTGCGCGCACAGCCGCACTATTGAATAGACTTAACTGTTGTGTTTATGAACGCTGCTATCGATCCTCATGAACGTCTCGGCAGGACAAGTTGCTATATATGAATGACTTCTTGTTTCGCATCACATTCATTAAAATTTAGTTTGCTGCTCAATACTCATGCATGCGGTCATATTTGAACATCCAACATTCTTTCTTAACCATGATTCTTTTGTCAAGCACTTAGGAAGACTTCTAACTCAACCAGTTAAGAAAACTGCTCAAATTTAGCACCGATGCCAGGGCAAGAAGCACAGAATTCAGGTGATTCCAATTCAGGTACAGCCGAAATAATTCCATTCTAAATGAAAATGGACGCAGTTGTTTTCTTTGTATTTATCATAGCGCTGGAGCCATAAATGCCACAAATAATCGTAGGCTGCGCTATTTTCTACATAGCGACGTGCAACCCAAATGAACAGAGCGCTCTTCCAAGGCTATAGCAAATCTCTACCATTAAATAAATAGAGGAGCTTAACCGCACAGGATAGCATCAGTTTAAAGCGATATCAATAACCCTGTCTGGAGAGTGTCAATGCATAGCTCTATTTGAAATAATATTCTTTGTGTACGAAGTTCGAGATACACAATAAGATAACAGCGCTCGAGTTGCGGTATAGTGAACCTCCTGTCACCATTTATGGCACCTACCAAGTATATAGCATGGCGTGCCACTAGCCAAGCTGGAATACCATGCAGTCGGTGTACGGTAGTGGTTCTAGCGTACCAAGATACTCTTACCGATGGTGCACGAGCTCACAAGTTGCTATACTATCAAGTCTCCATAGATAGTTTCTATAGCCCTGAATTACTAACTCTTGCTAAATGAGATATGTTATAATATGTTCTCTTTGGTAAATAAATGCGCCTGATTCACTTGATGTTTGTCAATCTTTCGTGTCTTCTCCCTGTAGTTAATAGTGTATCAAATATTAACAATATAGGAGGTTGTTTTATAATGTGTCTTGGGGTAAAGTGGCTTTAGGGTACCGTTTGATCAAAGATTTCAATTATTTTATTTTGTTCGGAATATTACATGTTGCGTTTCATGTGGGCAGCGGCAACTACTTCTGACGAATGTTCCATCAAGAGAATGTATACGTTCTTATTTGGGTCGTCATGTTGCTCGAAACAAGTTATTGAGAATCTTTGATATCCTGCTGCTCAGTTTTCGAGGCTCTGGTCTCGAATGGTTCTTGTTCTAATTGTAGTGGATCATGTTGTTCTGGATTTCACATCAAGGTTTTTCTGCACAAATTCTTCTGATTAACTGGAGGCTAAGATAGATTATTGAACTATGGCGACTAGGGCGAGCTTTCTTCTTCTGAGGTACGTACTTTTCCTGCCTATTATTATTGTACTAAGTTCATACGCACATTCTCTGCCGCTAGAGAACTCACAGCTCCCGAACAGTTCGATCACTGGATTACAAGAGCTCAAGTGTGCTTAGGAAAACTAAGTATTCACCATACCTGTAATTCGCATATAAAGAAAAACAACATGTATCTTTTGCTGAAAAATGTTATTGCAATAAAAATGATTTACGTTGGTTGATCCTATGTCTTGTGCTCTTTGCAGATCGAGAACCAGAAACACCGGCCTCTGTTGCAGCAACAACAGCTACCACTAGCAAGCGTCCAACACTAGACCACTAGTACAACACTAGACCACTAGTAAACCATTTGTCTTTCGAAAGCCCCGCCTTAGTGTCATATCTAGTGTCTAGCTAACTCGAATAGTTCCTCATATCTACATCTTAGTTGTTACTACGTGTTGTCTAGTTCGTATATATTTCCTATTGTGCTATAGCATACTGTTTTCAAAGAGTTGATTTTATACTCATAGTCTATTGCTTAGAAACACACTTGAACGAACGTTCTGTAATCGAGCTCACACCTCGACTTCCATAATTATTTTCCCCCTTGAAACACGTGGGTATAATCCGCGCAAATCTGCATCACTGCAGCGATAACCAAAATAAAGAGAATACCGAGCGGTAGAGTTTCTTATAGCCTCGTGCATTTGCATGCGCTGACAACTCTTCTGCTAGACGAGCTGAGCGATTGTTTGTGTTGCAAACGAAGCCTTTCTTAACTTCACGATGGGTAAACAAAACAGCAAACTCAAGCCTGAAGTGCTCGAGGATCTCCGCTCCAACACTGAATTTACCGGTGGGTTCTGCTCAATAACTACATATACTTTGCATTTCTCGCCTAACTCCTTTGTTTGCGGGTACACTAACATTCTTTATTCTTACCCGAGGGCCATGGATACGATACTTGTTCTTGGTAGACTCAGAATTAATAATCAACTAGCAAGAAAGTTTAATATTTCACACTAGACATCTCATCTGTTTATAAGAAGAAGGCGGGTTTTTATGTATCATCTGATATTAAATTACGTTAGCTACATCTTCATAAAAGCTTTATTGTTTGATGAATCAAGTTTTGTTTTTATTCTAGTTCAAACACTTGATGAATCAAGTGTTTGTTTTAAGTTCTGTTGGTTTCCTAAGTTTCCTTTTCCATGCAAGTTACTATACGATTGTATTAACTCAACTGAGAAGTTTATATGACGAATACTTGCCTTTTGTGTCTGGTCCGCAAGCCTTTTTTAAATGCTCATCTTCGTTGACGTCAACTTACGTAGTGCGATTCGAACGGTATACCGTCTCGCTGACACGACGGTTGTTCGGAGATCTGTGGTATTCAGCAGCGATGGTTTGACATCGGATTCACTATTTAAAAGTGTATATTTTTCAGATTCGGAAATTCAGGAATGGTACAAAGGCTTCTTGAAAGATTGTCCCACTGGCCATCTTTCGGTCGAGGAATTCAAAAAAATCTATGGAAATTTTTTCCCGTACGGCGACGCGTCTAAGGTAAATAGTTCCTTTAATGTACGTCTTGTGATTGTTTATGTGCAAGTTTAGGTTATAAATTTATAATGTGTGCTAATATATCGATGAAATAAATGAAATAAAGTATGATTGCATGACTGTGTTATGAGGTTACGAAACAAGTTTTTGTGTGGCAGCGTGTCCCTGACAATATATAGAATAATAGAATAATATTTCATTTCAAGAACTTCTCCAATTTGTTGTTTGGAAAATATTTCGTGTGGTGGATGGTAGCGCAGCCTGTGAACGGGGCGCTGCTGCTATGGGGGGGGGTGGACTTTTCCCTTAACCTCGTTTATATTTCGTGGTAACCTCATATTTCCATGTAATAATAATTCTCTTCACGCATTAGTCTTCACCTATTGCTCTCTATTCATAATGCTCTTTATGCCCTAGTCTTCACCTATTACTCTCTATTCATAATGCTCTTTACGTCATAGTCGTCACCTATTACTCTCTATTCATAATGCTCTTTACGTCATAGTCGTCACCTATTACTCTCTATTCATAATGCTCTTTACGCCTCAATCTTCACCTATTACTCTCTATTCATAATGCTCTTTATTTTCAAACTGTATTCTTGCATCAATTTTTTTTTTTTGTTCAGTGTTCTTTTCCGACCCTGACGCTTCTCGAGCATCTCTGATTGCTGCACCGATTACCTTTCACTTCAATTGCTTTTTTTTGCTCAATCTAATATATTTTAAGATTTTTGTAATGTTTTGCTATCCCATCTGTTAATTTTTCGTTCTTTAATTCGTCTTTATCTTTATCCCTGTTTTCGAATATATACAATACGTACACAATATAAAATTGATAAGAACCGCCATAATGTCCAGAATACTATACACGTCTACCTAGGCCTCTAATATACACGTCTACTTAATATATACCGCCTCTAATATACGCGCGTACTATAAGTACCGTTTAATTCAACTTACCGTACCTCATCACTGCATTATGAAGTTTTCTTCAAATTTTTTTCATCAAATGGCGAGCGCCAGAGGTACTGAATGTTCATCACTTATTCGTTGAAAGTACAAATTAGCTTTCAGCTAACTTTCGAGACAAGATATTAATATATCCAAGATATTTCTCCACGCTTTAGTTCTTAACATCGTTGCATTTTTCGCAAAACTTTGTTCGCTGCAAAGTGTGTTGCAGAATTGTTTTTTATTTCTCCTAGTGTCGCATTCTCATTTTGCTTGTCATGGCAGTTTTGAAGATTGAGAGATGGCATGTGTTACAATTCCATATAAGAACCTCTTATTTCGTTGTAACTCTGAAGCATGCGTAATGAATAACTCGAGTCTGTAACTCTAATCGAAGGCGGCGCATCAGCGTGACCGTGAACTGAAAACTCCCAAACCCACCATAAAGTTATTACAAAAAGTCTTGAATTTTTCATAGAATTTGTTATTTTGTTCTCTGCATGCATAGTTGATGCTTACATACATCGTTAGCAACTAGCTAGCACTTATTCCCTGCCTGTAGTGAACGTGGAGAATTTCGTTGCAATGGATCTTGTCTTGTTTCCTTCTGTGTACTTGATTTGTGCTTACTTGCTCTCCTACTTCTACTGTACGTCATACCTGTCTCTGCTACCTGACGTGTACGTCATACCTGTCTTTGCTACCTGACGTGTACCTCATACCTGTCTCTGCTACCTGACGTGTTTCTCATACCTGTCTCTGCTACCTGACGCGAACCTTATACCTGTGTCTGCCATGTCAAGTGTACCTCATACCTGTCTCTGCCATGTCAAATGTACCTCATACCTGTCTCTGCCATGTCAAATGTACCTCATACNCTTATCCTTCCATTAAGCAGTTTGCCGAGCACGTGCTCGACTGTTCTCTCACTTATCCTTCCATTAAGCAGTTTGCCGAGCACGTGCTCGACTGTTCTCTCACTTATCCTTCCATTAAGCAGTTTGCCGAGCACGTGCTCGACTGTTCTCTCACTTATCCTTCCATTAAGCAGTTTGCCGAGCACGTGCTCGACTGTTCTCTCACTTATCCTTCCATTAAGCAGTTTGCCGAGCACGTGTTCCGTACGTTCGACGCCAACGGTGACGGGACGATCGACTTCAGGGAGTTCCTGTGCGCGCTCTCCGTCACGTCGCGCGGCAAACTCGAGCAGAAGCTGCGCTGGGCCTTCAGCATGTACGACCTCGACGGCAACGGCTACATCAGCCGTAACGAGATGTTGGAGATAGTGACGGTCAGTGATAGTGACCATAGTTAATATTAAGAGTGAGGCTTCATAGTATTTTGCATCACTATTAATAAGCTACTTATCAATATCCCGCCATATCAGTCAGGTTCAGGAGTGAAGAGCAACTGAGAATAAGGCTTAGTGGTGTAGGCCCTAAAAATATTTATTTATTGATGTGACGTGTTGCTATCTACTTAATTAATTTCTTCAGGTACATCGAGGTTTGCTAGTGAGTTGCTAACATCTACACTACACAAGGGGATTTCAAGTCAAAATATGAGCTCTATTGTTGAATATACTATACTGCCAGGCTATATCTCACAATATACTGTGTTGACAGGCTATATCTCACAATATACGGTATTGCCTGGCTAAATCTCACGATATACTGTATTGCCTGGCTATATCTCACAATATACTGTACTGACAGGCTATATCTCACAATATACTGTGTTGACAGGCTATCTACAAGATGGTTGGGTCCGTCATGAAGATGCCGGACGACGAGAGCACTCCGGAGAAGCGGACGGACAAAATATTCCGGCAGATGGACAAGAACCGCGACGGCAAACTCAGCCTCGACGAGTTCATTGAGGGCGCCAAGAGCGACCCGAGCATTGTGCGCCTGCTGCAGTGTGATCCGCAGAGTCAGTGATACTGAGTATACTGAGCCTCAGATACTGAGTATACTGAGCCTCTGATGCTGCAGTGTGACCCGCAGAGTCAGTGATACTGAGTATACTGAGCCTCAGTCATACTGAGTATACTGAGCCTCAGCCTGCTGCAGTGTGACCCGCAGAGTCAGTGATACTGAGTGTACTGAGCCTCAGATACTGAGTGTACTGAGCCTCAGCCTGCTGCAGTGTGACCCGCAGAGTCAGTGATACTGAGTATACTGAGCCTCAGATACTGAGTGTACTGAGCCTCAGCCTGCTGCAGTGTGATCCACAGAGTCAGTGATACTGAGTATACTGAGCCTCAGTTGCTGAGTATACTGAGCCTCAGATACTGAGTATACTGAGCCTCCGATATGCTGAGTATACTGAGCCTCGGTGTCAGTAATACTGAGCTGCTGATGCAAGGAAACTTTTGTTCTGTCGTGCGATTTATTGACGATTGAGAAAAGCGTTCTGAAAACTAGTTTTGTTGTCGCCATCTTTTTGCTGCATATGCATTTTATATTTGCAAATATGACTATGAACGGAGAATATTTCTTGTTTTAGGTAAACCTGAGCGTGCTAATGAAATTTGTTGATAACTTTAACCTATTACCGTTGCTTTACCGCCGAGTTTTCGCCTACCTTTCGAAATTCACCAAAATGTCCACAACATCCAAGCTTTGTTCGCCACGCACACGCAGGCCGCTGCTCTTGCTGTACAAAAATGCAGGATGCGTGCGTACTTCCATACGCAAACGTTTTGTGAAAATATTTACTCATTAACTAATAAAGTTTCAATTTTAATTGTCTCTCCATGGTTTAAAAATAATCTATTACGTCCATCTTCAAGTTACGTTTGTGCGTTAAGAAATCATCGGCAACTTGTTGGTAGAAACACGAAGCTACGTCTTTCTGTACGGCGTGCTTGGGCTGTCCCTGTTGACGAATAGCTACTGATGCCGCATACATATTCTAATATCTTCGATCAAATTTTAATATCTTTAAACATTTTCCAATATCTTCGAACATTTGCAGGTATCTTCGACCTAATGCTTATATCTTCACTTCGATCATATTATGAAAATTAGGTCCCATGAAGCTTTCCCTGAATTTTTGTTTGTTTGTAAGACGACATTGAGGATCTGTCTATATTTCATAGCGAGAAAGCCTTCCCTAAGTTTTCTGCACATAGTGTGGTTTAAAAATGTTAAGGAACTGCCCTCGTGAAGTGTTAGTTCGCTAATGTGCAACTGGTGTATAATTCTGTGTTGTGAATGTTGTTTAATCTTCATTTGTTTGTTGCCAGTTTGGGTGTTCGAATATCTTGTTACTTACATGTCGCTTTAGCCTCTCAACTTTAGAGGCTGGAGGCAAAAATAATTTGTAACATTGGAATGTTCTATGAGAGGTGACAGACGTCAAGTCTCTGGAATGATTTATGAGAGTTGACAGAGGTTGACAGATGTCAAGTGTCTGGAATGCTTTATGAGAGTTGACAGATATCAAGTGTCTGGAATGACTCATGAGAGTTGACAGATGTCAAGTGTCTTGAATGACTTATGAGAGTTGACATATGTCAAGAAATTCGACAGTTGACGAAGGTACAGTTTGCTGATCCGTCTTGTTCCGTGGCTGCTGTCTCGTGGATCTCTGTTCCTGGACATGTCTCTGGCCCGCGACTTGCAACGCTTGCTTCCACTATCATCATGAAATGCTCTCAGAGGTAGCATGGTGCCTATACAGCTATTATAAATGTTATCGAATTCCATATTTTATGCCGTATAGAGCTTTCTTGCCTTAGCATTATAATGTACAATTGTGCTATTCCAATACTCGATGACGAGCGCCGTAGTATGCCATCGACTCACCATCTTTAATTCATGATAAAAAGGCACGAGTAAAATGCACGGCATATTCTTATGACTCGTTCGTCTTTGAAACAAACGGTAGGGTTTTTATTGAAGTATTGAAAGAATCCATGCTAATATGAGGCGTTGTGAATTGATCTGTTTTCTCTAAACAGTGAAAGTCTGGGAAATAAGTGTGATCTTGGTAGCGTTTTTAGGCATTTTTAAATCTAAACTTAAAAACACGGAAATTTTAGACTGCGCAATAATAAACTGACAGGACACCTCCAATCTGAAGTTGATTATTTCAATGAATAGATAGCAATAAATGTAAGGTTATATGCATTTGATCTAGCATCACTCTACTAGAGATTGTGGGCGCATCCATTGTTCTTCCTCGTTTTGTTAAAACTTGTCTCACGCTTCCTATCTTCTGCAGAAACTACAACTCGTACCAACAAAGTGATATTCGAGCCATGATTTTATATATAAATACTCAAAAGTGTAGGGAAAATCGGTAAATCTAAGTCAGTGTATTTTAACAATCTACCAATATATGTTTTTTTTCGGGGAACACGTCATTGTAACTAATTGAAATATTCACAAGTTTGCTTGAATCGTACATATATTCTTTTGTATTGGTGAGTGGGGAAACTAAACTGAACTGCAACTAAGCTTTAGACGAGATCTAAATTTGTAGCTCATAGTTCTTTTGAACGATGCTCTACCAAATTCGTAACAATTGTTTTCGAGAAGAAATTTAACGTGTATCAATAGCTTTAAGGAGCTCGGAGTAGCAGGTAAAGCTTGATGTGACTACGCCACATATACGTTTTCTTACATATTAAGAGAAGTTAAATCAACTTTGAATTACTGATCGGGATCAAAGAAGTATTCTGCGACTTGTATCCAGTTGTCATCTTGGATTTAATGCAATAGAAACTATTTAATCGCAATCTATAACTATTGAACTTACTGTGTCACACGAACTTCCAGAATAGAAGTATATCTGAAGTCCCCATTTACGAACAAATTGTTAGTGCAATTGAGGGCAATGTTCATCACTTTGTTGTGAACAAAATAGAATAGGAATCACAGGCGCTCCTGCTTGTCAGTGAAGCAATAGTTCGTGACGGGCTCTTGTGGTGCCTAAAATAAAGAGAACTTTAAAGTTTGAACCTTCATAATTATTATCTTCTATTAAAAAGAGTATTCTGGGTTAATATTCATTATTATATCAGCCGTGTTGTTTGTAATTAATTTTATAAGGACTCTTAATGCCTTTGCCTTTTTCATACTAGGTAAGATTTTGAAAGTACTTATGCATTGTATATGCTTGATGTGCGCGTGATCCTGTCATGAAAGACGCGTTCTCATTTGTAACTCATTCGCATTTCAGAACGTTTTTGTTTATGTGTGTCTCGACATCTTTACAATACCGTGTAGGTGTCTAACTGAAATATCGTAATCTGAAACCTTATTTATGGACCTTCAACCTTTACTTAGTTTTACTTCACGCCAAGCTTTTCACATATGATCTTTTCCATAACTTCCCTTTTCCATTTTTCCATCAACGCATGAGGTGTCCTGATCCTTAACATATCGTTGCTATGCAAAGGAACCTTGCTACAAAATTATTTAGACTTTTGCATCCAAGTTAAAAAAACTGATTTTTGCATCATGTCTACTATGTTTTTAGTCTTGATTTCCAATCTGATCTTGATTTGTAAATTCTCGTTCATCGTGATGTTTGAAACTCATTATATTTGAGCTGCGGTAGAAATAATCCATGATAATTTAATTTTAGTTCGCGTTGACCTCAATATGTGTTGACAATTGTGACTTCCTCTCTTCGTGGTTGGAAATGCTTGTTCACTTTGTTGATGAAATTTATTATGAAATGTTACTCAAATGCGACGAATTTTACCGGGATTCTCTTGGGTACAAATGATAGGACACGAGCGTCAACCAGTCTGGCATGGAGTTTGATGTGTGTTTCTTTTCTACTCGTTTTACTATTGAATGTTCAACAGCATCAATCGCAGCCTTCTTCATATTATAATCAACGTTGTTTTCTTCGGCGTAAATTCTACATATATTCATACTAAACAATAACTATGGTTTTTAAAATTATTAAACTCGATAGCGCTAAGGATGCGAAGCTGGTCTTCCACACGAAATTCTTGCGCCGCTTTCTTTTGTTGCAAATGGACGTTGAGAGAAAGACTCTCTCTCTCAATAAATATTCTACTGCATCGCAAATGATTGAACGAATGTTAATTTATACAATGAATCTATGTAAATGAGTGTGGATAGATTCGTTTTCAGACGTACATCACTAAATGTGTGTTCTCTAACAAAAAAAAATGTTTGTTTGAACCTAAATTTGATGTCTAAGCCTGAGTGTCTCACACCTGCGCAGAACTGTTAATTACCAGCGAGAGCCAGAAACTTTTGACGTGAACGTCGGAAATAGCGAAGCATGTGTCTCACACTTGCGTCGGTGCTAACGCAGCCACCTCATACATGTGGTAGGTACTAACATACTTGCGTTGGTGCTAACGCAGCCACCTCATACATGTGGTAGGTACTAGCATACTTGCGTTGGTGCTAACGCAGCCACCTCATACATGTGGTAGGTACTAACATACTTGCGTTGGTGCTAACGCAACTATCGTGACTGTAGTTGTGGTTGATAGGCTCCCTTTTGTTACTATGTGCTTCTTCATAGAAATAGCGTCCCTAATTCAGTGTGGTCACTCAACCCTAGCTGTATTTTTTACAAGTCTTCAATAAAAAAACGACGGGCTTGTGTCCCTAAATATTATTACCCATGTATTAATTATCCGCTAACTTAGCATTAAATTCTTTCTTATATCCTCGCTGTACAATTTGCTTTACATTTTTTATTCCGCTTTGTGTTTGTCGACGAAATTAGCGTTTCGTTAAGCAACTTTTTTGCTGATTTGGATGTCTTCATAAATATTTCGCCAGGGCTGTTCTATTTCAATAGCTCTAAGTGTGGAGGAGAAATGAGGCGCAATATGACGCTACTATGTTTTTGAGTGTCGAGCGTTATCTACACTCACCGCTCACGAGAATAAATAACTTCGCTATACGTAAAGTTTGCTTTCTTCTGAAGTTCTTGTCTGCGTTTTTGTTTTAACCTGAACACTGATAATCAAAACTATTCACAATATAGACTTTGATTTGCGCGTTGAAATGCGCTTGCACAAATATTGCTTTTATCTGGTATCAATTTTTGCAGGTCATGTTGTTATACTCGTTACTAAATGTTGTACGACTACTTGGGTACATATAATCCTTGGTAAAATATACTGTTCAAGTTAGGCATCTTCTTGATTATAATTAATTTCTAGATGCTGCACATATTTTTATTATTTTCTAAATTTTACACCGACATATATGCAATTGTTAATTAATGTAGGCTACAGTTAAATACAAAGCACCTTATGATGTTAAATGTTACCCACGACCACAACACGAAAATTTCGCGTTAATGTCATAAAATCCGTTTAGTGCCGTTCCTAAATTAAGTTTTACTGGTTACAACATTCTGTAGTTCATCTTTGTGCCATAATTCTTGCGATGGAGTGAAGAAACTCACTCCAAACTGATGCTGCAAAATACTATGCATGGTTGTATACACAAATATTAACGACTTTTTTTCATTGTAATTATCGCCTCTAACTATTTAACTAGGATATAACCTTTAGATGCACGCCTATTTTACCTCCTTTAATATTTTTTGACGTCCTACAATAAATAAGCCCTCAAATCCGTCAAAATACCCAGTCAATGAAACGCTTCTTACGACCGTGCGAAGCAAGTCCCGTTTTTTTAAAGCGTTATTTCCAAATGTTTCCGCATTCCCGTCGGTATCTTATGACCTTTTTGAGCTCAAATGTTTCACGCAACGAAACCTCATCCTAATATAATGTGAACGTTCGTAATGATCCATTAAAATCACAAGTTTTCATCTTAACCCCCCCCCCCCCATCCCCCCACACTGACGTTTAGCTTGCTAAAGCGCAGGAAAATACGAAACAATTTGAAACCCTCTTATTGATGTACATCCTTAGCCACGATATTAGTTTCTTGACTATCGACCAAATAACCTTAACGAAAGCGACATATTAAAATTACATCCTATTTCGGGTAAACATCCAATGAATTATCGTGCAATAACAAATAAATTTCGAGTATTGTATTAATTAACATTGAACATAAATAAATCATTATTATTAGCGAATATAATTAGCGATGATATTGATTCAAGGCGATCAGCAAATTGAATTTTTGTAGCGTTTAAATAAAGTACATTATACCAAGAATAAATTTGAAGTTATACCAATCACTCGTCCTTGTTAATTATGATAGGGGTAACTGGTATTTAGCTGAATGACTTCACATCTTTCTTTAATAAACTTTAAACGACAAAACGTTATTTTTCTATTCTCTGCACATGTAATGTAAATTTGCGGCTTGAAGCGCAACTCCTCAACTTTGGACAAGCGTCAAAAATACCATCCATTTATAAATCATTTTGTAGTAAACATAAAACTTCTGAAATTGAACAGTGAAGAGCAGAAACACACAATTGCAAAACTGATGACGTTCAACTATGTTCTTTCTAACATTAAATACGCCACACCCACACTAGTATGAATAAAATTTAGTATCAAAATTACAGTCTAGTCATGAAGATACTAAAATTTAGATCTATTAACAAGTTCACTTTTAATTTCTGTTCTTTAATCCACAGCATTTGACGGTGCTACTTATTGTTGAATTGAATTATCTTGTGCAAGAATAGAAACGACCACGCCACCCACGCGTGGACTACATCGAGAAAGTGAAATCGTATCAACAACTCGGATCAATTGTCTCAACTTCTGAACGAAAATCAACAAAATAATTTCACCGTCTACATCGGCTTGGATTTTAAACAGAACGATAAACAGTTTAATAAACTTAAGACAACCAACACCAGAAATAATGATGAGGATATGTTAATCAAACAATGAGTCCAAGATAAAATTAAATATCAAATATCGAAAATAATTGAGGAAAAGCAACGAAATTTCATTATATCTCCACAGACTGCAATCGTTGTACGCGAGAACTGAAAAATGTTAGTTGAAACCACACATCAAAGGTCGGCACACTCGCATACCTTCGAATATATCTTAACTTGTATTAAATAAATTCAACAACACACATCAAAAAACAATACAAGTTTCCAGGAACGAATAACATCCATGGAAACATTTACGTTCAGTTCTACGAAAAGAATATATATCATGCCTAACAAATAAGTTATTTCAACGACCCTACGATGGCAAACTACCGAACCAGCAACTGGAACTTAGAACTCCATTACGAAAATATACATAAAAATTGGTATGAAATTCTGTCTAGGCTCGCCACATACACATTTAATTATTCTTCTCTCTTCTTTGAAAATATATTTTATTATATAATAAATTAGCAGATTTCCTGAAGAAAGTCGAGGTCTCCGCAAACGACCCTGAATTCCTCAGAAAATTTTCATTGTCAATATTTATCACTACAATAAAATGACATTCTTTAGCAAATTTTCTTATAAAATATCATAATGTCAGACTGTAAAAGTTGTATCTTACAAGCTTTACGCAATTTATATCTGAGGCTGGCAGCAAGTTGAGGCGAGACACAGTACCCAGTGAAAATTTACAGCGCGGCAGCTTCTGATTTCGATTACCAGAAGCTGGGGCGACTCTAAATTTTGTTAAGGTACGTCACAGCTCGTCAGGGACACAATACGTCACAGCTCGTCAGGGACACAATACGTCACAGCTCGTCAGGGACACAATACGTCACAGCTCGTCAGGGGCGATGCACGGCGCGCCGCCCTGCGTCCAGTCCTCCGTCAGCCCGTGCCGCTCATACGCCCTCACGAACGCGTCCTGGATCGCCTCCCTGCGGCGATGTGGGAGACGCGGTCAATAATATTAAACTCGAGGTAGATCTTAACTTCGAGGTGGATCTCAGAGTAGATCTTAAAATCGAGGTAGACCTTAGAGTAGATCTTAAAATCGATGTAGATCTTAAACTCGAGGTATATTTTAAACTCAAAGTAGATTTTCAACTCAATGTAGACCTTGCGACGCAGGTAGATTTTCAACTTAATAAGCGTCCACGCTATATAGTTCTACATTTAAAAGCCCACTGAAGGCCTCGAATGCAACGGTATACTTGGAATCTTGAGAACTAACAATTAAATGAACTGGTTAATTTTCAATTAGCTTATAAATTAGTGTAATTCATCACAGCGTTACGACCGACAAGCAGATGACCTAAACAGCTGCTGGTGCAGCGTTAGGCTGACCTAAACAGCTGCCAGGGCAGCGTTAGGCTGACCTAAACAGCTGCTAGTTGGTGCAGCGTTAGGCTGACCTAAACAGCTGCTGGTGCAGCGTTAGGCTGACCTAAACAGCTGCTGGTGCAGAACAAACGCTTCGATGTGCCCCGCGTCGACCGTGCGCAGCTCAGCTCCCGGCCACACGGCGTCCAGCGGCGTCATCGTGTCGCTCGGTTCATACCTGCATACGCATTATATCCTTTTATCATTTATATAGGTACTACACATTATAATTACAATATATACATAGATTAATATATATTAATACTATACATTATTATATTATACATCATCAATTATTTCCATGAAGATATAAAAAGCTCATTCTAAATCAAACTGAACCATTGTAAAAGAATCAAGAATTGCAGCGATTGCATAAAGTAGAGAGATGAGTGCACTGACTACTATCTGGAATATTTTATGCTGACCACTTCCGAGCTTATTGATCATATAAAATTAATTTATAAATTAGTAAATTCGTTAAATTTTCATATCATGAATTTGCTGATGAAAGAGATTAACATGTTGAATACTGGCCTTGCTTATCACAGAATAACCGACAAATTCGCCAAAGATAATCGAAAAACTCTAAGCAGACTGTGAACAATCGCCACGATACAATTAAAAAAAACGTAGACACGCGAGCTTAATTAATATATTAGCAAAAATAAAACATAAGATTATCCACACATATGTTTGGCCTGGAGTGTGATAAAAGATGATAAATGAACATACCATGAGATGTGTCGAGGAAACTAACATAACATAACTAACACTAACATATCGTCCCGTAATTTGTACTAGTTAGTAAGTAACGATAGTCCATTCTTCTCATTTCCGTCAGTCAATCACTAGCAAGCGTCCATATCACATGTCAAACTAATTCAATCCGTGTGTACTGTGTGGTGATTTATATGCCTGTTAATACTTCATTGTCCGTCATGTGTAAATAAACCATTTTAAACCATCGCCGACTCATTTATACATTTGTATTTTGTTATCGCCGACTCATAGGACCTGTGTTAATTCCATTGTATAGCAAGACATACCATCCGCCACAAGATGAGTCATAATCACGTCTGAGATAAAATAATAAAAAATGATATGACAACAGAACATGCGTCACACTCACGCATCGCGGATGGCCTGGATGATGATAATCAACTCGGGGTCACTTGGATGCCCGAAGTTGGCAACGTGGGTGCACTCATCCATGATCCCTGCAACCACGTTAACATCATCCATTAAATGATAAAGAGGGAGACGCTGGTTATTTATAATATAAATGGTAGTGATGTCCGCAACGAACAATTAACGCGGCTGTTCAAAAAAAAAAAAATCAAAAGTAGAAGATATGGCGAAGAAATTCTTGAATATAATAAAAAACGACCGACGAGACGACAGAAATGACATCAAGGTAGGGCAGCTAAAGACAACTTGTTGTAGGCAACTTGTACTATAAGCTCCATTTATAATTTATAATTCTATGTTTTTTTCTGAACATCTGACATGACCCTAAAATATAAAGTCTATATTCACTGAAGTAAATATTCAATTCTGAGCTCCACATTGCCAAAAGATAAAAATTTTACATTATTTTAAATAGTAAATACTTTTTATAAGTAGGGTTAAGTTGTGCTGGCAGAAACCGCGGATTGAAGATTAAAAAAATAAATATATATTTAGAAATTCAACAATTTATTTCTACCAAACTGTCGAAGTGCAAGAAGAGGCGCGGACAAGAGGACATAGGGCCTTGCTATTGAAACTCTATCAAGTACACGTAGCGGCCCAAGTACACGTAGCGGCCCACGTATAAGTACACGTAGCGGCCCAAGTACACGTAGCGGCCTACGTACACGTAGCGGCCTAAATACACGTTAGCGACCCAAATACACATAGTGAAAGATTTCTTGTCTGTGATTGGAGGGTTTAGCTTGAAAAGCCATCAGTAATTGGTAGCAGGAACTACGAACTCGTAGCTATTTTTCGTAGTACGGCCCAAGCTAATACCATTGCAAAATAATTCCGTTTCATTCCTAAAGTTTACCACAGAAGAACTCACCTCGCATGAACTGCACGGCTTCCCAGGTGAGGGGATCTTTGACGGTGAAATAAGGCTTGAAGGACACCAGATTGCGGTGTGGGGAAGTCGCGGGTCTGATCCCCACGGGGGTGAAGCCTAAGTGAGGGTCTTCCTTGTCCCCCACAGGCTTCCCCGCCGCGGGATCCCGACTGAACAGAGACGACGAAGAGGAGAAGATTTTCTGCGTGGACTCCTTCAGATATCGGCCAAGGAGAACATCGAGGCGATATTTGGGGTGTTCGGATTTGCTGGCTGTCGGTGATGTGACGTCAGAGCTAGGCTGGGCATCAGTAATACTTGACGTGTTTGAGCCGTTAATCCCTATAATACTAAGAGGATTTAACGATGTCAGGAGAGTGCGAGTGAATTTCTCGGCGCTTTGTTTGCTGCTCACAAACACTCGACTAGAGCCTGAGCTTGCGACTCTGTCGACTGAACCAGTGCCCGAACCGGCGCCTGGACCAGCGCCTGAACCGGCGCCTGAAGCAGCGGCTCCCAGACCTACTCCAGAGCTGCTGGGAGCAGTAGGGATGGAGTCAGGTTTTGTTGCACCAAGACGGGATGCTAGGGGACCGACAAGAGGAACCATCACAGAACTACCACTACCACCGCAAGAGTCCATCACTCTCTCGCTGGTAGTGGAGTTGTAGGTACAAAGTTCTTCTGTGAGGTTAGTGCACTTTGCTGGACTGACGACGTTCAAGGAGTTAAGGTCGTTGCTTTGAGCGTCGAGATGAGAATATCCCGAAGATTTACTATGTGTATGAGCAACATGTGACCTCGAACATTCACTCAACGTATGAGAAGAGTTTGCATACAAATATTCATCTACATTTGAAGTTTTATTCTGCGAATTTAAAAAGTCTTCGACTGTGTTGCCATTGTTAGAGCTATTCACATTGTTACTAGAAGAAAAACCACAGCTTGAAGCACTCAAAAAATTCAAATCATCGTGTTGTTTGAGACTCTCGGTGAAACCAACTTGTGTAATACCGTCAGCCTGAAAACTCGCATATCCTGCCGAGTCCTGCACCGTTTTCCTGGCAGTGTTTGAACTGCAATCAAGTGTTGCATTGGGAGACGAAGACGTAATAGGAGCGCATTTGTGGGACTCGTGGGAATTTTTCTCAGCAGGATCTGAAGATGAACTGACACGCAGCAGTTCGGGAGAGGGTGCTTGTGTTGTGTGTGCTTGTGTTGTGTGTGCTTGTGTTGTGTGTGCTGGGGTGTCGTGTGCTTGTGTTGTGTGTGTGTCGTCACCATTATTAGCTTCGTCGATGTCAGGATATAATCGTGCAAACTTCTGGCCAACTTCGTGGTAGATGGAGAAATGCTGAAGAATGTAGTGCAGTCACAATCAAGTGATGAAGATAAGAAGATAAACTTTAAAGAAGCATCAAAACTATATAGTACTTTGTTGTGTGTACATAAAAACCTAGTTTTATTAATATATACAGTACAGAAATTTGTAACCGAAAATTACTTTGAATTTGGCAGATGATATCAACAAAGTAAACTTTGTTCAACACACGGAAAACAGAGGCAATATTCAAAGCAGGAATATCCAATCAATATGATTATGATTTCAATAACTTTCATTTAATATGATAAATAAGCTAAATTTATAAGCAAACATAGCAACCTGAATCACAAAGCTTGTGAATCACAATATCCTTATTTAAATATAGCATCAAAGCAAGCTAGCGTGCACCCCTCACCCCCTCCGGTGAGTGGATCAGGTTAAAAAGTTCGTCCCTGAAGGCCTCGTTGGAGAAATATTGGTCCTTCAGAAGCTCCCAGTTGATGGCCCCACTCATCACTCCCTGCAACAAGGATCGTCATTTCACCATTGATCTTACGGATCGGAAGAAAATATAACTCAGTACTCACAGCAGTGAGTGACAGAGAGCGCATTTTCTCGTCGACGAAAACGTGAAATCACTGACAGACAGACGGACGGATAGACTGACATGGCGAGCACAATAGTGCATTTTTTTCATAAATGAGAAAATGTGCTAAAAATCATTGAGGTTTTATAGTCTTCACAGGGGAGTAATTCTGTGCAGTTTATTTTCAATATTTTCTAACTATTTTCTTGACTTTTTCCTTACTACTTGTTTAATGCACCGATCTAGTGTATGGTCGACAACAGAAAAGACGATTAGAAACTTGAGCAACCACAGAGAGAGAACAACTCTTGAAGCATGGCTCGATATTATGATAGCCTCGATATTATGATAGCCTCGATATTATGATAGCCTCGATATTATGTTAGCCTCGATATTATGATAGCCTCAATATTAAGATAGCCTCGATATTATGATAGCCTCGATATTATGATAGCCTCGATATTATGTTAGCCTCGATATTATGATAGCCTCGATATTATGTTAGCCTCGATATTATGATAGCCTCGATATTATGATAGCCTCGATATTATGTTAGCCTCGATATTATGATAGCCTCGATATTATGATAGCCGCGATATTAAGATAACCTCGATATTATGTCAGCCTCGATATTATGATAGCCTCGATATTATGGTAGCCTCGATATTATGGTAGCCTCGATATTATGATAGCCTCAATATTACTATAGTTAAGATTTTGGCACTAAGTGCTCTAGTTATACAAGTAACTCTTCACGAGTTGAGTGTAAATATCTCACTTTTTCAAGATAATATATGCTACAAATTTAGATCCTAATATTTGCCCCACGATACTACCTGAAAATATTAAAACAACAGCTTTATAGAAACATTATTTCGCAGGATAAATATTTTTTCCATCGAAAACGAAATCAAAACATTTGAGCGCTTCAGTTTGTTATCTCGATAATTGACCTGCGTGAAGACCCCAGACGCGGTGGTCCACGACAGGCATGGCACCAGGGGGATGGGTCGGGGCCAGCTGCAGCATGCCAGCGATGCCATCTGGCAACGAAAAATGTCATCTGTCAAATGGCTTATCCTATGGCAACAGTAACCGTCATCTGCCAACTAGCTCTTCCTTTGGTAACGGAAACCGTCATCTACCAATAAGCTCTTCCTTTGGTAACGGAAACCGTCATCTACCAATAAGCTCTTCCTTTGGTAACGGAAACCGTCATCCGCCAACTAGCTCGTCTGCTGGTAACGGAAAACGTCATCTGTCAATCGTGTTATCATCTCACAAAAATCTTATGTCAATTAAATTAACCACTAGCAATTACCATCTGATTATTCTGTTAGCCGTTGAAATTACCTCTTGTTAATTCTATTTCTATTGCTTGTCAATAAGTCAAATGAGAAGACGATATATACTAGTCAAAAGAGAGATATATTTTATAAATACATAAAACTACGAGTTTACATATCCTAACTGAGACTGATGATAACTTGAGATCTATTATAAATATTGACTCTCATATTGCATAATTCAACCAGATGCATCAACATAATGGGTACCATAACTACAAAATCTACCTAAAGTTTTGCCAATACATCGCCACACATAACTTTACATGATGTATGAGCATAACATGGCTCACACAAGCTACATATTTTACATTAAGTATCGCCAAAACATGGCCTCGCACGTAGCAATATTTCTAATCATATATCAACATAACATGGCTCTACAAACAACATATTCCACATTAAGTTCAACAAGGCCTCACATGTCCGCCCATGCTGATGCCGGTGAGCCCCACAGGTCCCAGACGCTGCCGCAGACACCAGTGCAGCAGCACCATCGACTCGAAGATGAGACATCCGCCCATCACGAACAGATCTGACACGTTCAGCAGACTGGACCGCCTGCACGACACAAAGATCAGACATCCGCCCATCACGAACAGATCTGACACGTTCAGCAGACTGGACCGCCTGCACGACACAAGATCAAACATCCGCCCATCACGAACAGATCTGGCACGTTCAGCAGACTGGACCGCCTGCACGACACAAGATCAGACATCCGCCCATCACGAACAGATCTGGCACGTTCAGCAGACTGGACCGCCTGCACGACACAAGATCAAACATGCGCCCATCACGAACAGATGTGGCACGTTCAGCAGACTGGACAGTGGGAAGTCTGCGGAGAGTTAGCATTGAGGAGGTCGATGTAAGATTGGAGTGGCAGAGGGATCTGCACGAACACACGTCTAGGTATGAGGTGTAACGATACATGCTATACAATGGGTGCTCACCTCTGCTCATAAGACTTTCTGCGCCCACAAATATAGCAATGCTTACCTCTGTTCGGGGGGCTTTCTAAGCCCATAGAAAGGGTTCTCGAGCAGGATTGAGCCTATACCGTAGTCGCGAACCAGAGGTTTGGCCATCCACGTACGTCGCTTCCAGAAGCCCTGAAAAGAATGCAGTTTGAATTGTTCAAGAACACCAACATCAATAGTTCAGTACACAACAATCCGCAATCTCCATATGTAATGTAATAGAACAGCATCAGCACACAACGATCCTCCAGCAAGAAATGTATACGACAACGTAAACAGACCACCAGAATCTGTAAAAAAAACACAATAATTTCTGGCCACACAATAAATGCCTTTGTAACTCACATGGTCGCCGGTGCCAGCAAGCTGGATACAAACAGGTCGGTAATCGTCCTTAGCCCATCTGTAAGCAGCGAATAAAATACCGTTACCGCGGAGCACTTTGACACCTTTATATATAATGTTTATTTGAAGTAATTATACTAAGTTAGTTAGTTTAGTGGCTAAATGTTTACTATCGCTTCAGCTATTTAGCAATCTCGCACCGAAAGTCCAAGATGAACATCACCAACGAGGTGGAAGGTCTATTTATACTAAGTTTGATAGGTCGTAACCTATCAGGTTGAGTTTGAACAGGAAGTGATCAATACTTTATCGTTAGTCTGTGGATAAATAAACCATGTTTCATGGTATTTGTAATTAAAGGCCTGGTAAATAGATGCTGCTAAAAATACACAACATTAAACTAGTCGCCAATGGTATCATAAAGCGGGGAAGAGGAATTTTAACATGGTCATGCATCCACCATTAAAGGTAATTAACCCTTTCTCTACCGATACCTAAAGGCCTGGTAACCAGAGTTACCATCGATTAAGCAAAGGTTACTGAGGTGACAGTACTTGTGAGGTAGGATCATCTGGAAGTGAGCCTTCCGACTGGCCTCAGGTAGCAGGCCAGGCAGGTGCAGGTCGAAGGGAGACATGAAGTGTCCTTCATATAAAACGTACGATCTTCTTATTTGTTTCTGAAAAACCCGATTTGAATTAACCAAGTTATTACATGAATCAAGAATGATAAAAATAGCAGAATTCGTAATAACAGTCAACTAAGTAGAGCAGAATAAAAGATAAAAGCAAGCATACCTTTGAGATAGTAACTGGAGTTAAAGGGTCCACGAGAGAATAGCACAAGTTCTTGTCCGCCATCTTCTTCCTAAATGTGAAGATGCGATGAAGGTTTTCTGGTTTACCCCATCCCTACAGTGAGGAAATCAATTATTCGACAAGAGAATATGTTAAATATACAAGACTAGACGAATATTTTTAAAATGTAAGCAAATATTTAGAGATTTTAGAAGACCTAAAATTATGGTCACAGATCATTCACAGGTGAGTCAACAGTGGCATGTCTCGCTTAAGCAGTGCGTCTCGCTTAATTAAGCAGTGCGTCTCGCTTAATTAAGCAGTGCGTCTCGCTTAAGCAGTGCGTCTCGCTTAAGCAGTGCGTCTCGCTTAAGCAGTGCGTGTCGCTTAATTAAGCAGTGCGTCTCGCTGAAGCAGTGCGTCTCGCTTAATTAAGCAGTGCGTCTCGCTTAAGCAGTGCGTCTCGCTTAATTAAGCAGCGCGTCTCGCTTATGGCATGTCTCGCGTCAGCGGCATGTCTCGCGTCAGCGGCATGTCTCGCGTCAGCGGCATGTCTCGCGTCAGCGGCATGTCTCGCGTCAGCAGCATGTCTCGCGTCAGCAGCATGTCTCGCGTCAGCGGCATGTCTCGCGTCAGCAGCATGTCTTGTGTCAGCACAAAAATCACATATAAGTCAATTATTACAGCTTGAAATTTGAGAAATTTTGCCTGATATTTCAAATTGGTCCTCAAATAAATATTACATTTTTGAAAATGAGACTTGTTAAGTTAGTTAGTAATCTTGTGATCCAGTTGTTTGCAATTGGTTCCAATCTTGTGGTTCCAAAAATGGCAGGAAGGCTTTAGTTGAGTATTGCGGCTCAAAAGGTAAATGTATTCCACGCCAACCTTGCTGCTCAAATTGGGAATTAGGGCAGAAACCACCTGAGAATCGAACAAAATGCTAATGAAGGTATTAATCTGGCCAATTTCAGCAAAGCCATTCATATGGCCTTTTCCTAATTTCTTCAGTAAATAAAGAGAGGTTAAAGTAAAAACTGCCTATTTTCAACCAGGATTTTTGAAAATCACATGTGAAACTCTCATGTTTACCTGTAATTTTATGAAACTTCTGCCCAATATTCCAAATTGGTTTGTTGCTTGTTTAGTTGGGAAACTTCCTACTTTTTCTGAAATATTGCAACTCTCTTTATTCACTCTAATATCATATAATTTCAGTGGGTATGAAATCCCATGGCTCTAATGTCATGTATCTTGTTTGATTGAAGAAATCACGGTTCATAAACATGTCATTTCATAAAATTTTCAACTTCCACGGTACCTAATACCACGCTCCTGCCAAAATATTTAGCATAAACGCATAATGAGACAACCCAAAACATTTTGTTAGAGATTACATAGTTGCTGTCAGTCTGTCACGTCAGACTGCATTATCACGTGTTCAGTTGACTCTAGACACTAGAGTAAAGACAAATTTATTGTTGCTGTTTCTATGGACTAGGGTAAAATTACAGATTTGGGATAATACTTGAATTGAACAGGACTTTGCAAATGACTGACATAAATTTGTGGCTCGTAAATGGCTCTCTTCAAGGCTCAAATGAATGTACCTAATCATGGCTTGCAAATCTGTAAAACCAAAGCTCAAAAAATTATGTTGCAGTTTATAGAGAGTAGGTACATACCTAGTTTTCTCATTAGCTGCTTGCCAAAATAATCATACCTATTACCTAATCTATTATATAATATCGGTCAGACTCAGAATTACAATTGTAGGACTTGATTGTGTCATTGTGCACAGTGTCTGAGAAAATTTATTGATCATGCCAGCAGTGTGTAATTCTGTATAGGTAATATATTCTCATGTCAATATAAGAAAACCTATCAAAAAACCAACCCACCAGGCTATCAGGCTACCACTGCGTTACACCACCTTCCCCTGCAATGAAAATTTATAAACTGAGCACATTAGAAACTGCCGCACTTCCGAAATCGCGCGTGGTTCGACATCCAATCCTATGTTGGCAACGCCTCAAGCAAGTTAACTAGTCGTCTATCTGTAGGGTAGTAGACAAATTTTTGCAATGAATACGTTCTAAAATAAAAAAAAAACACATCCACATTTGTAAAAAATTCTCACGATTGGACAAGACCAACAAAGTTTTCGATTTCACACAAAATTATGAGATAAACTTCTACTTTTTCACTGCGTAAATTCACATCATACTTCCTGTTTACGTAATTACAGGACGCCATCACACACGCTTTTGTTTGGTTGTGTCTTGTTTGATTTCACAATAAATAGATTTGATTCACATTCCATTCTGAGATTTAAATGATTGAAAGTTTTTTTGAATTATAAAAACCCATTTATATGTTCCCGATTTGAATTTCTTTCATTTTTTGCCCTATTATGTTGAATTTATCTTGATAAATTCACTTCAAATTCTGACTGATTTCGTCTGCCATCACGCGTTTTCGAACGTTTTGTGTCTTTTAGAAAATTTAGAAAAACATGGAAAACTATTTCATTATATAAAACATAGAGCACGTACCTTATAGTGCATTAATAATACAATTTAATTTAATAAAAATTAATTTTTAATTTAAAAAATATAATCAGATTTTTAATTCAATATTTTTCTAATAGAATTTTATTCAATAGCATGTACTATCTAGTGTATTAAATAATAAAATTTGATTTAGTAAAATTTAATCGTAATTAATTTTTTAATTTAATTAAATTCTACAGCTTCAACTGGTAAAAATGAGCATCATAGGAATCAAAGTAAAACTGTTGTTCATACATCACAAATTGAATGACATTGGATGGATTTGATAGGTATTTTATTATTCCTGTTTATATATAAGAATGGAAATTATGCTTCTATTTCAGAATGATAATGGAAATGTTTCTACTATTTCAAAAACTTTTCTTGAATACACTTCCAAAAACTAAAGTTCTGTAATCAATGGAGTCTTTGAAATGACAAAATCATTCAATTTAAAATGTTTAGCTATAAGAGTAAGATTGTCATTTGTCAATATGAGGAGCATTCACTCGTGAGGAGCTGTAAGAAAAAATTCATTGTTTTTTATGTAAAAGAATGTTTTTCAATTACAAGAAATGCAATACTTGATTTTTGGAAATACGATGTTAAAATTAACGATCCGTATTAGAATTCAATAGACGTTACGATTTCAGAATTATCTTCAAAAAGTTTGTTGTCGTTCGTTTGTTCAGAAGTTTTTGTTCGTTTGATCAGAAGTTTTCATTCGTTTGATCAGAAGTTTTCGTTCGTTTGATCAGAAGTTTTTGTTCGTTTGATCAGAAACAGAAAAAGTTTTTGTTCGTTTGATCAGAAACAGAAAAAGTTTTTGTTCGTTTGATCAGAAACAACATAATTATTCATTCTCTTGCACTAAGTATACGAACGATTAGTTAATTCGTAATTTGTATACAACCGTATACGAATTAGGTATACGATTGATCATCCCGCTAGTTTATGCACCGGGAGCAGGAAAGAAGCTAGGTACCTATTCAATTCAGTAGCACGTTAGCTCACATGTTATGTACCTAGTTCTGCTCGTCTGAATTGCGTGTTTAGTGTGCATGATGGAAAACTCTGCCTAATGATTACTTAATGAAGTTTAGTTCATTGCAGTCAACTTAAGAGAAAATTTTCAACTAACTAATACTTTTTATAAGTCTAATTTTAATTGTTGAGTGAAAGGTGCAGGCATACAACTTCCAAGTGATTAGGTACTTTATAGAAACTGAGCAAGTTAGTGTACATATTTTAAGCCTTTAAAAAGTCCATTTTTTGCCTCAAATAACGATGTTGGGTAGAAAAGTGGTCTTGGTGGATCGAAATAATATATGAACCTTCGAAATTAGAATTCCATCCTGCATGCCAGAAAGCTTTGGCTTGGTTTAGTTTACATAGGCTAAAAGATCATTTCTTTTAAAAGCTGGCAACATATCATATAAGTGCTGACTGCTGTGGCTAGGTTAGGGTAAACGCGGTATATTCCGACACATTAAGGACGCATCGAGAAATGAAAAACTATAAAAAAAACCGTATGCGTTACATAAGTTCTGTTGTCTTCACATGACTCTCAAAACACTTCACTACGCGTCAGCAACGATGAAACGTCACAAAATGTTGCCATATTTATTAAAAAGCCTTTAGAATGGGAACCTACCAAATCCCTATATTCCGTCACTTTGTGTGGCAATATTCGAGACGTGGTGAGTCGTATTGCGTCAGCGCTTCAAATTTAACTGATACGTATTGCCGACATCCATGTGTTCGAATTCCGTTTGCTGTGTGAGCTGTATTGGAATACAACACGGCTTTGAATTAGAACACTAACGAATATTGAACACTACTTAATTACGTTTTAATTAACAGCTATTAGGCTTTTAATTAAGCAAATTTCAATTTTTGTACAAAGCTTTGAACGATCTGTGTGTGTCCAATTCAAGTTGTGTCGGAATTATTTCTAATGAGCTCCAGTTGATCTATTTTCATTGCAGTGGAAGGTGGTCCAACGCGGTGGTAGCTGGTAGGAACCGTAGGGTTGGTTTTTCGATACGTTTTCATATATGGACATGAGAATATATTACCTATACAGAATTCCATACTGGACGGAATTACCTACAATGTTGGAATATACCGCGTTTACCCTAATCAGAGGTGTTGACTGTTGATGGTAGATTCTTGGCATTCTTCCAATCTTTCAGGGTGCAGAGACTAGAGAGTGGATTAATATCTCAAGATCTTTGGTGGCACCTCAACATTATAATTTATGTTTCCGAAGCAGTCTAACCAGCCAGTGCCGCAGCCACAGACCCACAGCCAGCCCCAGCAGCCCGCCAGTCGCCAGACGCCAGCCACCACTCCACCAGCCTAGTCCAGTGTCCAGGCAGCCATAGTGGCAAAGCAGAGAGTTTTTTAGACTCTCCCTCAAGTTCATTTTTGAGTCCTATAAGTAGACCAGTAAAGTATCCTGGATACCAGCATTATCATACTTAAGAAATTGGTTTAAATGAGAGTTTTTTAGACTCTCCCTCAAGTTCATTTTTGAGTCCTATAAGTAGACCAGTAAAGTATCCTGGATACCAGCATTATCATACTTAAGAAATTGGTTTAAATCTTGAGACTTGAGTAAATGGGAAAATTAAAAATGAACCGATTCTAAAAAAGCTCTGGTTTGCCACTATGCAGGCAGCCAAACTTACCTTAACGAAAAATTTTGTCAGCAGTAATCGACGATAGACTTGATCAACTTTACTGCGAGCCATTGTGTTTAATACATAATAACATAAAGCGAATATAACTTGGAACTTGGTTCGTCAACGGACAACGAGTATGAAAGACTTTTAAATGCATAAGAAATAGCCATAGGAATTTACAGAGACTGATACGAATAACGATTCATTTCTAGAATGCATCTAATATATCGGAGATAAGCACCGGCCAAATCAACATGTCCGCAGTCGTGGAACTTAACAATGCAAAGTGCCGTAGAAGCAGGAAAGGTTTTCCTAACAACAATTAAAATTTTTGAACCATGACAATCTCCATTCCGTTAGGAGTTACATCGTAAACTTGAATTGTCTTTGGTAAACATTACATTACGACTTCCTTTTTCAATTCACTTCATCACAAAACATCAGTTTCCATCACAGATACGTGATGATTCATACGATAAAAGAAAAAAAATATGCATTGATTTAATAATGACTGGTGGATTTGGCATTAATTACTCATGTAGAATTGAACATTTATACTTAATGTGAAGATATAAAATAGAATACAGTAGAATATAATAAAAGTGTCGTCGTTGAAGAAGATAGGCCCACGGCCTGTTGCCGATTCATGTACTTTTCGTGACTTGATTCACAAGGAATCCGGCCTTTGGAACCCGATATTTTCATAAATGACGATTGATTGAGATACTTGCCGGACCTATTGCCTGGTCCGTAAGTTGCTAGGCATTTTAAGACTGAACATATGCTCCTGCATAGCTTCGTTTAGTCTGTTCTTGAAGGCGTCAATCAATACTCGGAGAGTCAACGATGCTATCGGGGAGGCTGTTCCACATGTCGGTGACTCGAAGCGAAAAGAAATGTCGTCGCATGGATGTGTTACAACGCAGTTTTTTTAGTTTATAGCCGTGGTCCCTGGTGTTGGTTCTTGTTTCAAATTCTAGTAATCCTTCTGGGACCTTGTATGAGCCATGAGTATACTTTTATGCTTCAATGAGGTCCCCACGCAGGCGTCGATAACTGAGGCTTGGAAGCTTCATAATCTTTAATCTTTCCTCATAGGACTTGCCTTTCAAGCCCGAATTATCCTTGCGCGTCTTCGAACACTCTCTATTAAATTTTTTTCCTTTTCAAATTTCGGTGACCACACGACGATTCGGGCGCACGACAGCAACAAACAACTGCTTCATCGCTTCTGCAGCTATGAACTCGACAGTGCGTCCGATCAGTCCAAGTCGTTTATTGGCTTTATTAACTTGACCTTCAATATGCTTAGAAAATTTCAAGTCATTGTCGATATTAACTCCTAAATCTTTTTCCATTGTAGACTGCGACATCATAACTCTGTCGTTGAAAACGCGTCTTTTCATACGTACTGTAATTTTGCTGTTCATTATTCTTGCAAAGGTGGATTACTTTACATTTGTCAGCGTTAAAACGCAGCTGCCACTTATCAGCCCAGTCTAGCAGCCTGTCAAGATCACCTTGCAAATGTACTTTTTGCGACGTCTTCTTCACTGTTTTGCACAAGCTCAATGCTAACTACTCTGGAGACTTCCTTACAGCTCAGTAAAACCTAGTCCGTTGTGCGGCCATTCGTCTGTTAGACGAGTGGCAACCCAAACAGCAACCCTCTGTTTATGCTCTGTTGTTTATGATGCAACCCAAACAGCATCATAAACAACGCCTCCAGCCGCATCCCTTTTCTGCAACAAACACGTTCTTACAATGCCTCAGCTTGCCGTGAAGTCAGAACGTCACTACCGAGTGCTTGTAGCTCTATATGTAGCTTTTTTAGATTGCGAATAATCTGTTAATCCAAGCAGTGCTCTAGCATCCATATAGATTTGACTTACTTCGGCCAGGTTAGCGGACTGATGACGTTTGTTAGTTCGTAGTTTCTTGAGCGCTAGTGACGGGCTGAGAGCTGCTGTAAACTATTTTGACAAAAGCCGAACCAGCATGTAAAAGCTTATCAACAATTTACAATGACACCAAAATTAGTTCAAACTACTTAAGACGTAATAAAAATGTGACTTTAGAAATCTCAAGTATGGTGGAAGCAGAATCAAACAATTTGATTCAAGTGACCACCGAAAGAAATTTTTCTCGTGTTTGTAAATAAAACTCGTATTTTCATTTTGAATAAACCCGTGAGTAAGAAACTATCTGCCAGTGATATATCGTCTAACATAGACGTAACGTGGAAAAGAAAGATCGCTTTCACTCCACCCTACAAGATTATATAAATAACACATATCATGAGATATGTAAGCATCAGGTAATCGGAATTACAGCAATTCCATATAAATACCTTTACACAACACGATGGACGAAAAAAAAGTTGTACCTGTAAAAGCTATGCTGGTCAATGTGCTCTGCAGGATTGCTCGAGACCAAGTGTTCCCACTTCTTAGGCCGTACTTCAGTTCCAATACGGCGCAGTAAATTGGAAGTCATCCTTACAGCTAACGATGCCAATCCATGGACTCTCAAGAGTTTCATTCTGATTAATCAACAATGCTCGAAAACGAAATAGGGATGAAACGCAAATAAACGTAACAATTTACTTCACTGCACACACGCACTTATCCGAAAACGGTTCAGACAAATAAGTTAATGGCTAGCACACACCGACAACAAATGCTTGGATCATATTTCGTTTCAAATCAGAATAAGATGAATTGAAAGTGCAGATACGGTGGACAGCAATGAGCAATGACAAATACATCTACACCAACATTTATACAGCCTTTCCATTCATTTTTGCAATGGATACGAGCCACGTTAGAATGAAGAACAAAATTCACTACAAATATCTTCACAATAAATTGAATTTTTAAGTTCTTAGAGTTGTAGTCAGGATCAGGCATACAAAACAATGAACAATGCGAGTTATAAATTTTGTTACAGCATATGTGGGATTATTTTAATGTATGGCTTGTGGAGAATGCTGAACACCAAAAGGCCAAATTTTGACATACTTCACAACGAAAAACATTAATTTGACTAGCAATTGTGGATTTCAATCGCCTATGGATGAGATTATACAAGAGAGAGTGAGTGTAAAGGAAATTGAATCGCGTTCAATACCACCATTTCTGGGTGCATTTCAGGAGCATGGACTTCATCATATTTTTTGAGTCACTTTATAAACGTTTGTAAAAAATATTAGCACTTAAGAAACAACCTAGTACTTCTTTGCCCCCTTGGCCTTTGCAGAGATCTCGTACTTGCTGCTGATGTTGCGCCACATAAGGAAAGGCACAACGAGCGTTGGCACAAGCATCAAAGCAAAGATGACCCAGTCAAAATGGTGAGGGGAGAACTTGCGGTCAAAGTCCCTCTTGGGAATGATGGCTCCCTCGCCAGGCTCAGATGTGTAGCCAATCTGGACGTCCTTGGAGTCTTCTGATGGTAGGTAGGAAACCTCGGCAGCTGTGAAGTTGTAGTAGCCAAACTGCTTAGGTCTGACCACCACGGTGTGTGACACGTTGGCGCTGGGAGCGATGCGCTCAAACTTCACCTGCAGTTGGCCGGCCGCGATTTCAAAGCTATCTGAGCTGAAATGTAATTTTAAAATTTGATAAATCAGTTTAAATTATAGAAGCAATGACATTGTCGTTAGCTCTCATAATAGATTGTGATCAATGAACTGGGAAGAAATGAGAAGAAACTGATAATAGGGAACATCTATCAGACAGCACACATTACCTACAAGACTACAAGACATCAACCATGTCATGTCAATAGACATTGATGTATGATCGTCAATACTACAATTCAAAGATGCTTGGAAAAACTCAATTTGCCTTCACATCATGATAAAATAACTAGATGGATAATAACAAGAGAGACATCATGAATTAATATTCATGCCCAACAATGTAGGAGTGAGAGAAATACAAACAGGATGGAATACATTTATAGGTGAAATTAGAGTAATGGTTAAAACGTCCAGGTGAAAATTAAAAAATTTATTCCACACTCCCTCAATACTTGCAGGTTGGGACCCATACAACAAATTTCACAAGGTACATGATAGACATTTATCTTAGAATGACAAGTATAATCAAGTAGTAATCTTACTTAAAACTGGGATCAGTGAGCTGAACGTTGAGAGCAGGAGCTGTGCCGATGTTGTAGAGTGAGTAATGCACAATGATATCAGATCCTTCAACAAGGTAGAGGTTATGAACGATCTTGCTGGCCAACAGTCTGGCACGGTCAGGAGCTCCTGGGGTAACTTCAGCTGTAGAGGCTGATGTCAGTGCTGCCATCAACCCAATGAACAGCATCATTAAACATGCTAATCTTGTCAGCATTGTGGTTGTCTGTGGAGAGAAATCTACATGAGAATCCTGTAAATCAAATAGGTCACTAACAACAGTCAATGTTTTCATATATACAGTATACTGTGCATCCAGGGTAAACTGTTTTTTTTTTTATATTTCCTGTAATGAAACTACAGAAGTATAAAACAGGGTTTTTAGTAATAACCCTGAAAATTATCTATACTTTGCAACCAGGGTAAACTGTTTTTTTTTATATTTCCTGTATTGAAACTACAAAAGTATTTATAAAACAGGGTTTTTAGTAATAACTGCTTCCTGAAAATTATCTAAATCATACTTTGGCACAGGTATGGAATACGGTATATCTACATACTTTTTAGCAGTGACTAGAGTTTTCCTGTCATTTTTGGTACTGCACTACTGCTAGATTCTTGCTAGCTAAATCATCCCCTATCTGGTTTTGAACATAAGTTCAATATCCAGTTACAAGATTTAATTGTATTAAAATTGAAAAATCTATTTTTCTTCAGCCATAAGATTTTATTAACAAGTAGAAATTTTATAATCTTCCAGCACAATTTAGGCTTTATTTTCATATGGTAAAACTTATGTCATCAAACTATCAAGTCCTTTACATTATCCTTTGGGACTCTGAATTTTCATTACATTATCTAAATTTTGAATACAATTGGCATCTTGTGGCCCAATCATGCACTTTTGTTAACACTTAGAAGTTAGATAGGAGGGAATTCATCTAGCAGAAATCTAGTGGTTGCAGAAATGGTGGGAAAGCTCTTGTCATGGCTAGGCAAGGAATATTTCTACTTGGCAAGCTGCAACTGGATTTTTTGAGCCGTGGCATGGGTTTGCCAGCCATGACGCAATTTCTTCGAGCCATGAATTCCAAATCTCAGCTGTGAAAAGCCATTTACAAGCTGCCAACTTATTATTTCCCAAGTCCCATGCACATATTACCCCACATCTAAAAATTTTACCCTAAAAACAGTCACGAGCATTTGTCTTCACTTAAGCGGCAAATGAAGAAGTGATAATGCAGTCTGACCGCTCTGATGTGACCACAACTGCGCAATCTTCAAGGAATGTTTTGTGCTGACTTGTTATTACGTTCTGCATGTTATTTTGGCAGGAGCATTGAAGTATATATACTGCAGATTGTGGAAGTTGAAAATTTCATGAAATGACACGTTTGCAAAGTCAGAAGTGCAAACCACAATTTTTTCAATCAAACAAAAATTTATGACCTTAGAGCAGCAACATTTCATTCCTACTGAAATTATATAATATTAGAGCCACAATATTTTGGAAAAAATAGGGCTTTTCCAGCCCTGGTTGCAGCCCTAAAGGGAGATGTTTTCACGCTTGTTTCAAACAATGTCACATCATAGATTTTGCCAGCAATTTTTACTTTGGGAAATCTTGAGATCGTAGCCACATGTGCACCATTTCAATTCAAATTATCCTAAAAGGTTCTAATAATATAATAGTTACTTTGTAAAAACCTAAGAAAATCTTGCCTAATAGTAGGGTAAACGCAGTATATTCTGACACCTTGGGTAATTCTGACACTTCTTGACTTTTTTCCTTTATATTAAGCTTTTTCTTAGTTCCACGCATTTGTTGTTGGTTGAAATAGTGACGTCATACCCTTGCGCGCCATACTATTGCCAAAACATTAGGTCTGGGCCATCTGGCAGGAAAATATTGAGATCCAAAGAGAGACAGTGCGCATCACCCAGTGACAACATCGAAAAACTAGTCAAAGTTGATAGTTGACCTTGCTCTACCAAATAGTGATAAACTGTTTGTGTAGAAAGAATATTATGGTTTAGATTTTTAAACAAGTCTGTGAATTTATTAGGAATCCTTCAAGTATACTTGTATTTGCTGATTTCAAGTCCTAAATAAATTAATAGATGATCAAGTTAAGAGACGGTTATAGACACATAACAACCAATTCCAACACAGCTTGGAATTAGACACACACAGCTTGTTCCAAGCTGTGTGCAAAAATTAAAATTTTCTTAATTAAAAGCTTAATAGCTCTTAATTAAAAGCCTAAATAAGTAGTGTTCAATATTCAATTATTCAATAGTGTTCTAATTGCAAGCTGTTGTATTCCAATACAGCTCACACAGCGATCGGAATTCGAACACAAGAGTGTCGGCATTACAAATTAGTAGAGCTTGAAGAGTGGCCGGAATTAGTCTCACAAAATGCCCAATTGAGTCACACACAGTGTCGGATTATATGGATTTGGTAGGTTTGCATTCTAAAGGCTTTTAAATAAATATGGCAACATTTTGTGACGTTTCATTGTTGCTGGCGCGTAGTGCAGTATTTTTAGAGTGACGTAAAGCAAACAGAACTAGAGTTGTGCGTATGGTGTATTTTTTATAGCCATTCATATTTTGCTACGTCCTCAAAGTGTCGCTGTGTCGGAATATACCGCGTTTACCCTAATACATAAAGAAGTGTGCTAAAATGCTCAGAGAAAATTTTACTTTGCTACAAAGACAATATTTTGTTATTATCCTTACATCCAAATCAGTGTGGAATTCTGTATAGGTAATATATTCTCATGTCAATATAAGAAAACGTATCAAAATACCAACCCTACCACCGCGTTACACCACCTTCCACTGCAATGAAAATTGACGAGCTGAGCTCATTTGAAAATCGGGCGTGGTTTGAAATCCAATCCCGTGTTGCCAATGACTAATCAAGTTAACTAGTCATTTATCTGTAGGCTATCGGACACATTTTTGCAATGAATACGTTCTAAAATAAAAAAAAACACATCCAGCTTTGTAAAAAATTCTCACGATTGGATATCACCCACAAAGTTTTCGATTTAACACAAAATTATGAGATAAACTTCAACTCTTTCACTGCATACATTCACATGGAGTTTTCTGTTTACTTCTCACAAGACGGTGTCACACACTTATGTTTTGGTTGTGTCTAGTTTGATTTCACAATAAATAGACTTGATTCACATTCCATTCTGAGATTTAAATGATTGAAAGTTTTTTTTAAATTATAAAAACCTATTTATACGTTCCAGATTTGAATTTTTTGCCCTATTATGTTGAATTTATCTTGATAAATTGACTTCAAATTCTGAATGATTTGTCTGCCATCCCGCGTTTTCGAACATTTTGTGTCTTTTAGAAAATTTTCGTTGTTTAATATGAGAAACTATTTCATTATAGAAAACATAGAGCACGTATGGTATAGTGCATTAATAATACAATTTAATTCAATAAAAATTAATTTTTAATTTAAAAAATATAATCAGATTTTTAATTCAACATTTTTCTAATAGAATTTAATTCTACAGCATGTACCATCTAGTGTATTAAATAATAAATTTTGATTTAGTAAAATTTAATTTCATTTAATTTTTTAATTTAATTTAATTCTACAGCTTCAACCGGTAAAAATGAGCATCATAGGAATCACAGTAAAACGATCGTTCATACATCACAAATTGAATGACATAGGATGGATTTGATAGGTATTTTATTAATCCTGTTTATATATAAGAACGGAAATGACGCTTCTATTTCAGAATGATAATGGAAATGTTTCTACTATTTCAGAAACTTTTCTTGAATACACTTCCAAAAACTAAAGTTCTGTATTCAATGGAGTCTTTGAAATGACAAAATCATTAAATTTAAAATTTTTAGCTATAAGAGTAAGATCGTCATTTGTCAATATGAGGAGCATTCATTCGTCATTCCTGAGGAGCTGTAAGAAAAAATTCGTTGTTTTTTATGTAAAAGGATGTTTTTCAATTAAAAGAAATGTAATAATTGATTTTTGGAAATACGATGTTAAAATTAACAATCCGTATTAGAATTCAAAGTCGTTTTCATTCGTTTGATCAGAAGTTTTTGTTCGTTTGATCAGAAGTTTTCAGTCATTTGATCAGAAGTTTTTGTTCGTTTGATCAGAAACAGAAAAAGTTTTCGTTTGTTTGATCAGAAACAACATAATTATTCATTCTCTTGCATTAAGTATACAAATGATTAGTTAATTCGTAATTCGTATACAACCATATACGAATTAAGTACCGTAACGATTGATCATCCCACTAGATCACCGTTAGCAGGAAAGCAATTCAATTCAGCCAGTCTGTAGAGTATGGCACAACATAGGTCGAGGACGCCGTTTTTCTGCCCAAAAGACTCCAAGGCACCATCTAAATGGACGGTGGACGCCGATGTTTGCAGCAAACGGACGGCGAGGACGCCAAAATTGATTGCCCATGGTCTGGAAGGTGTTGCGACTTGCGTGGGCGCCGGAAGTTTACCATGCACACCACCAGTACGCCAGGGAAGAAAGTTGCCACTATGTTTGCTAGAAATACGAAAGTGCATCTCTGACCTATGCCTGATGATAGCGCGTACTTGCACGATCAATGCGGCAGTTGCAAGATGATCGACATAGACACCCGCGCTTCACAATCAATGATCAACATAGACGCCTGCGCATTACGATCAATGCCCGACATGGATGCACGCATTTCACGATCGATGTGGCCGACGCTCACGCTTCGCGAATGATGTGGCATGATTGAAATAGATGCACGCATTTTACGATCTATGTGGCCCATGCCCAATAATCGATACTGAAGCTCGCGCTTCACGATCGATGAGGCATGATCGACACGGATGCATGCATTTTACAATCGATGTGGCCAATGCCCAATGATTGATTCTGACGCTCGTGCTTCGCGAACAATGCGGCAAGATTGACATGGATGCAAGCATTCTGCGATCGATGTGGCCGATGTCCAATGGTAAATTCCGATGCTCACGATTCACGAACGATGCAGCATGATTATGGCAGGGTGGCCCAGTGATTAAAGTTCTGAGTACCAGACTACCAGGATTGGCGCGGGTTCTATCCCAGCTCTGTGCGCCAGTCTCTGGTCAGAATCGGCAAGGAGGTCGGGCGGTTAAGCACAGCAGAATTGTAGCAGTGAGTTGCGAGTTTGAGACCACAAGATACTGTGAATGTTCTGCGATGTTAAGAATCGGCGACAGGCCTACGGTCTAATGTCAATCATGCCGCATCGTTTGCGAATCGTGAACGTCGGAATCAATCATGGGCATCAGCCATATAGATCGTAAAATGCGTAACAAAACGTTTTGTTGAAGATCGCGCATAGTTGCGGTCATGTCAAAGCGGTCAGACTGCATTAACGTGTGCTGAACTTACAGTAGACACAAATTTTATTGTTGCCGTTCGACTGTTTAAGGGTAAAATTAGAGATTTGGGGTAACACGTGAATGGACTTTGTAAAAAATTTTGCACCTCGTAAATGGCTTTTCATGGCCGAGATATGGAACTCACGGCTCGGTGAAATGGAATCACAGCTCGTAGAAATGGAATCACGGCTGGCAAATCCATAAAATCACGGCTCAAAAAATTCAGTCGCGGCTCGCCAAGTAGATATATTCCATGCCTGCACTGAATGAGTGACGTGTTCACTGTGTTGTGTACACCGCAGTACACGTCACTATAAATTTCAGTGTAGGTACAAAAGTGGCAGTTGCCACAATGTAGGTATGTGCACAAAGTACGCTCGAATGTAAACAATGCTGGCAAAATGGCGGATAGCCACTTTCCGCATCGGCGCGCGTAAGGTATTTAATTTTGAAAGTCCCACCAAAATGTTAGCTTAATTTGATTGACTTTTGTTTGGAAACGAACTAAAAAAACTTGAACTATGACGACATCATTTTTTTTTTCGAGAAATGTCTATCAAGTACCTGCTTAGCTGGGATGTGCAAGAGGTAACATTTGGGCGGGAAATAAACATGGATATCATATTTTGAAATTAATGAAAGATAATTTGAAATCAAGATTATAGTTTTCAGAGCATGCTCTCAAAATTTCAGAGCTTTACAGCCATTCGGACAGTTTTTCTACCATGTCCTGTCGCGCTGTTTACGTTCACGTTCAGTTCAGTCATGAGCCAGTGAGGTGCGCTGGTCCTGAACTACTGCCGAGACTGAGACATGAGATGAGACATGATGTTACCGGGGGTTGTAAATACTATTTTCCATAGCACAACCTTCCTGCATACATGGTCTTTATTCTCATTTTTAATAATATATTGAGTGGGCAGGTTGAGCATTAATTTTACTTTGTGTTAGTTAATATTGTTCTTTTCTTATTTTCTTTACAGTATTACAGAATTACAGTATAAACAGAATTCAACCAGCAAGTGCAATAGTCTGATCAAAGTGCTCATTGAATGTATCTGCACCATAGTATAGGCATCATCACCTGTCCATGTTCCTCTTATTGGCTAATTCTGAACTACTCATGTTCCTCTCTAGTCTCTAACTCTTCACTACTCCATGTTTCTCTTATTAGCTAATTCTTTACTACTTCTTGTCCCCACAATTCGCATTTTCTTAACCACTCATTGGGCACAATCCTTGACGTCTCTCATAAGCTGCTGATCCCATGTAATAAACTATGTAACTTGTTTTTAACTTTGCTTAATAAAACTTAGAAAACACCAACTTTAATTCCCCATAAACTAAGTAGCTGCAATAGACAAATACAAGCTGATGACGAGTTCATCACACCCGCATAACAATAGTCAAAACTGCTACAATGTACGAGACGAGATGAGACGAGGCACGAGACGAGATGAGACGAGGCATGAAACGAAATGAGACGAGGCACGAGACGAGATGAGACGAGGCACGAGACAAGACATGACATGATGATGATGATCAGTATTTAATATTATTATTATTAATATTCACTAATATTTATAATAATTAGTTATGAATTAATATTAATAAAACTTAATAATATTATTATTACTAGTAAATTTTATTTGCGTATTCTATTCAATTTCATATTTTTAAGCTTAATTATGGTGCCAAGACCATGAAACTGAAATTTATTCCATCCAATTCTGCCTTTAAGTTAAGTTATAGCATTCATATCTAGCAGTTGCACCCATTTCCCCCACCCACCTGCAGTCAGTCTCAACCAAAATGTTTTATTCTAGTTAGAATAGATAGTCTACAACATGAGCTTTCCAATGGTACTAAAAACTTTGAAATTGGCTCATAGGAAACCTACAAATGATAGTTTTTCCAAAAAAGTGACAGAAGTTGGTCCATTTTTGGGGTGAAATTGAAAAAAGGAAAAAATTCATATCTTTTTCATTTTTCGACCAACTTCACTCATACTTATATGATATTTTTCTAAATTTTTTTCTCTTTTCAGTGGTGTAATTTTCATTACGATCAAAGGAAAAAAATTTTTTTGTGCACATACCTACACAATGCCACTTAATTTCAGTGTAACAAATTGGCTGTTGCCAGTTGTTACCATGTTGCTGAATGCTGATCAATGTGCATGACAATTTTTCAAATTACTTGAAACTAGCCTACCTCATTACCCAATTACATTACATCCTAAATAATTCATGACGATGATGCTCTATTAAAGTATCAGTGTCAGTGCAGACTGCTCACTGCAGGATAGCTTGAGAGAGTACCTAGTTGTTTCGAGTAAAATCATTTAAGCCTTTATTACGTTTCACTCTGATAAAAATTCAACACAACGTTTACAGATATAAAACCATAAAAATTGTCATTTGATCGAGCATTTGAGAAGAGATAGGTAAAATTAATACTTTCTTGAATCACGAAATTTTACAAGACAGTCATGACTTAAACTTGACATAAGCAGGCATCGAACTCAATATATCCCCATTTAAAATAAAACATTTAAATAATCGCAAAACGATGAACCAACCTGAATTTTGAATTTGAGACTTTTTGTTTACGAACTTGGTACCTGACTTCGTGACCGGTCACAGCAACACACTGACAACAATCTTCACTCGTGCAGTCGTGTTCACAATTCGGAGGCAGATATGAAAACTCCAGACGTAGCGCGAGAATGTTGTTCATGCTATAATTTGCGTTGTTGATATACAAATTTCAAATAATAAGCAAATTGACATTTCGTCTAAAAAAAATGAATAATTCATAGCGCTGCCACATGGGCCTATTTCTTCAATGCCGACACTTCTATTTTATTCTATATATCATGACAGAACAGTTAATATTTATACCTCCCCACAAGTAAAATAATTTGTTTGAAGCTAATATTCAGAATATTCAAACAAATTGCGAAAAAATTTAGTTTTGAAACATGTATTTTTAATCTATTATTTTTTTCTCGCAAACTATATTTAACAATGTGAACGTATGACAACTACAAATCGCCAACACGTCACTCATCGTAAACATTTCTTGAGTGCTGCCAGTGCCATCTTTCGGCGTTTCTCGCAAATTTGAGTTTTTTTGCTCGAATTATGATAAATTATCTCCAGGCATTAGGGTCAAGTAAAAAATGAGAGTAACGCAATTAAAAAAACAACTATGCTTTGTTACCGTCAGACGCTAACACAACGCATTAATTCTTGAATTTGCAGAAAAAATTCGACGTTTAAAGTTCATTTTGTAGATCAGTAAACCATGAGATATGACCCCAAGGTGTTACTTTTTTTGATACTTTTCAGCTTTATTTTCAAGCTAACAGCAGTATAGAGCAGAATTTGCAGAAAACCTATAGTATCTGCTCAAATTGCCTCATAGATTTCTATGCTTATTATCAATGCCCCACGATAGGGATGATTACAGATTTTTACATTAACATAGTGATGTCGGCGCTGAAGCGACCGATTCGACACTTCAGCGAACTCGCCTTCGCTGAAGTGCCGAATCGGTGCTGAAGCGTAGGCCTGATGTGGCCTGTCGCCGATTCTTTTCCTTTTCGTGCCTTGTTCATAGATCTAATATCGTTTCATTTGATCGGACCTTTTCATGACTGACGATAGTTTGCAGTAGCTACTAGACTTCCACCGGGTTCGATAAGGAGCTAGGCATTTCAAATCTGAACATATATTTTTCCATAGCTTTATCTAGTCTGTTCTTGATTGCGTTCATACTTGGAGCGCCAACGATGTCATCGGGGAGGCTGTTCCACATGTCGGTGATTCGAAGCGAGAAGAAATTTTGTCGCGTGAAGAAGTTGCAGAGTAATTTTTTTAGCTGCAAAAAAAATTACATCGTTTAAAATTAAAACGAAAATAAATCCATTTCAAGGCCTACAGACCACTCATAACTCCTTCAGTACTGAACGGATTTGCTCGAAATTTGAAATGTGAGTAGTTATTATCGATGGCCCGCAATAAAAATTAATTATTACAGATTTTTACAACATCTTTTCAATTAAGACGAAACAACGTCTATTTTAGGCAACCAAACCATTCATAACTCCCACAATACTAAACGGATATGCACAAAATTTTAAATATAAGTAGTTATTATCAATGTCTTACGATAGAAATTATCACAAATTTCCAAATTATATAATCTTAATTAAAACGATAAAACGCTTTTTTAGGCAACCGAACCACTCATACCTCCTTCATTACTGAACGGATTTGCTTCAAATTTGAAATCTAAGTAGGTATTATCAATGTTCTGTGGTACAAAAAATAACAGATATTTTCATTATCTCGTTTTCAATTAAAACGAAAAAACGCCATATTCAGGCAACCGAACCACTCATAACTCCCACAATGCTGAACGGATATGCTCGTAATTCGAAATATAAGTATTTATAAGTGCTGCGCTAGTTCAGAAATTGTCCAAAAGTTGACACATTCCCAATATTTCAAATTAAGGTGAAAAAAATTGAACATGGACGCAATAATTCCGAAGAAGCGCATGGTGTTCTCTCATTGGGTACGTTATAGACTGTTAGTTATGTGTCTTTGCCTAGTCCCGAGTTGTCTAGCTCCCCACGAGGCAAAAATTGCCATTATAGAGAGGTTCGTATTGTAAATATGTTCATCTGAGCCCTCGCTTTTTCCTACATCATCGATTTCTGGCCCCCTCTTATAACGTTCAAAAGCAGAATAGGTAAAGCCTGTAAAGCCTAAAGGAATTTGTCGTTTAAATATGTCCACCTTAGGCTGCGACTCGTTTTCAACGTCATATCAATTCAGTCCTCTATATCACTTCTCTCAACGGTATCACTATTATTCTCGGTCTCACTATTATTCTCGGTATCATTATTATTCTCAGTATCACTATTGTTCTTGGTATCACTATTATTCTCGGTATCACTATAATCCTCGGTATCACTATTATTCTCGGTATCACTATAATCCTCGGTATCACTATTATTCTCGGTATCACTATAATCCTCGGTATCGCTATTATTCTCGGTATCACTATAATCCTCGGTATCGCTAATATTCTCAGTATCACTATAATTCTAGGTATCGCTAATATTCTCAGTATCACTATAATTCTAGGTATCACTATTATTCTCGGTATCACTATTATTCTCATTATCACGATAATCCTCGGTATCGCTAATATTCTCAGTATCACTATAATTCTAGGTATCACTATTATTCTCGGTATCACTGTTATTCTCGGTATCACTATTATTTTCAGTATCACTGTTATTCTCGGTATCACTATTGTTCTCAGTATCACTATTGTTCTCGGTATCACTATTATTCTCGGTATCACTATTATTCTCAGTATCACTGTTATTCTCAGTATCACTATTGTTCTCAGTATCACTATTGTTCTCAGTATCACCATTGTTCTCAGTATCACTATTATTCTCGGTATTACTAATTAATTATCGCCATTGTCCAATCTCGCACCGAATCACTCTAATCGTTAGCCTGATTGTTGTCGGATCAGTTATTTTGTTCATTTTCTTCATCTTCTTCCCAGTGATTAGTATCGTCATTCTCACAATTATTTAGATTGCTATCGCTGTGACTACTACCGGAGTCCAATTCCGTCGTTGAATTACCATCTAATGGGCTACTGCTAGCACATACGCGAGAAGAACTATAATTCAAAGTAATTCCGAAAATGGTTCGCGGCTTTAGCTGAGGACGGTGGAAGCATTCGTTGAGAGGGATCCCTTTGGCCGGAATTTTCGTTAACATTAGCGGGAAAAGTTTTTTTTGGAGCCTGCTATATAATTAAGAACCTTTAATATATCGACGAAATTTGAATAATTTCCTGCATACATATATGTTGCTAAATAAGTAGATATGAATATATACAAAATTTCGTTCGTTCATTTCTTTACAACTTACATTAAGATTTTAAATATTTGAATGCAGCAATTTCGATGTAACATTTTACATACAAGTCATTGTGAAGGTTCATACCTATCTTTTCTAATGAAAATGTTTAATTATGGATTAAGGTACTAATGCATTAAGTAACGATATAGTTATTTGTGATGATACGCAGTGAATCAAGTAATATAATGTGCTTTATTACAGGTGAATAATACTGACCTCAGGCTTGATCTTTATTTCTTCTGCAGCCCTCTGGCTAGCACCATATTGTGAATCCTGAGGACAATACACTTACAATGGCTGCGTGAAAGTCGGTACACATGCAAGATCGTAATTGGACATCGCCATTTTCGGGTTGTGCTATGCCATACTTCTGTAACTCTGAACATTTATATAGTAATGTCTCTCGTTTTATTCAAATAAAATAATTTTTTTCATACGACATTTAACAGCCTCAGTATACGAACAGTGTCAGGTTATAATTGCACAAAAATACGTTTGTAGTCAATTGAAAATCACAATATCGAGGTGTATCGTCATCTAAATAGAAAACCATTCTTCTCAAACTTAATTGTGTTCTGAATAGTCATTCCTTAATTATGAGTATCTTGGTGATCCACCAATCGTGATTCAAAAGCAAGTAACTTAGTAACGGTAACGAAGTAATATTTTATTATTAATGTATATATTAACGAATAATAAGTCATTAATAAAATTTTAAATTTGTCCTTCTCATGAATATTTTTCAGTAATAAAGCATGAAATCATAAATTTATTGCAAGTATAAAAATTAAAGTAAGTCCACTACAAGTCACCAAGCACCGTCCTGAGTGATTCGAAATGAGGAAGTGAGAAATACGTTTTGAAAATTTCACTATTAATTAGTTAAAAGTTAGGAGTTACATTCTACAGTTAAATAAATTAGGCTAAATAATTTTGTTAAAGAATTGTGGCTTCACGTGTATATGGCTTGTTTGATTCATTTCCATATAACTAGTAGCATGCGAAGAAATGAAAGGGATCGAAATCAACTCTAAATTATATGTATCTTACATCAGTTTTGATGGTTATTAATAATGTGAAAAAATAAAAGATAATCAGATAAGCAATCAAACTATGACGCAATAAACAATATAACTTTGTTTATGAACATAAATGTGATTAAGAATGTTTACAATTTGTTCTGGAATTATTTTAAGAAACTTTTTCTGATTCAAGTCGTACGTCTACGAAAGTATGTGCACAATTCTTACTGAATTTTTTGTAACCTTTTATATTGTCAATTACCTATGCAATGATAAGAGATTGGTCATTCCTTAGAGCTTAACTTATTGCATGTAATGGGTAAAGGACATTGTATGTTACTACTGCTAACGTTCATTTCAAATGTTTATAAAAGTAGATTTTGAGTACTCTTTTTTTTGAGCGCACTGTTCAATGACAGTTATATTTAATATTAATACTACCACATGTTCGTACTTATAATAAATAACAATTGTTAAGACAAACCAAGACCGTCGATAAGACATCTCTATGTAAATTGATTTAAAACAATTGTATGGTATATTTTTATACTTATATTTTATGTATTTACTATTTTTTACGGACTTTTATTATGTATCGAATGTTATTAGAAGAAATATAGTTGTAATGACCACCCTTAAACCAGGTATATACCTATAATTGGCTCGCTCGAAAACGCATTGT